GTAAAGAAATTCAAAATCAAGACATATTCTTCCTCATATGTATAATTTCGTGACATTTTATTTAGCCTGAACAGTGTCCCTTAGCATTTCTTTTTTTTTTTTTTTTTTTTTGGTTTTTCTCCAGTACCAGGAACCGAACTCACGACCTTGCGCTTGCCAGGCAGGCGCTTTTGCCGCTGAGCTAAATCCCCAGCCCCCTACAGCGCTAGATTCTTGACGAGAGTCCTTATAAACACATATACCTGCCATTTAGAATGCTGTTAGGCATTGTGATGCATGCCTGTAATTCCAGCACTCTGGGAGGCTGAGGCAGAAGGATCACAAGTTCAACTCCAGTCTAAGCAAATGGGCAACTCTGCAAGACCTTATCTTAAAAAAAACATATACATGTACATATATGTGTACATGAAAAGGACTGGAAATGTAGCTCAGCACTGAGGCCCTGGCTTGAATTCTCAGTGCTGTGGGGGAAAAAAGCTGAACGGGGGCTTTTTCATATTTTCTTTATACTACATCCACATTTTACTCACTTCGTGCAAATGAGATTATACTTCTGGTTTCCCCAAAGATGACTTCGAAGTTCAGATTATGCCTTACCTTTGCAACATATTTTAACCAACATCAATATAACACTTAGCTCAATGAATCTGGGGTTAGCATGATTGCAAAAAATAAGGACTGCTTTGGCAAAGATGCTCTAGACAGGTGCACGAAGGGAGGCTCCCGTGCGTTCTCGAGGCTGGGACCTGGCACGGGTGCAACCTCTCGCCTCCTCAGAAGTCTCACAGGACAGCGTGGCGCTGAAGACCCCGCCGTCCTGTGACACACACAACTTGGCTGCCCTCTGCCCATCTTACCGTCCGCCTGCGGAAGGGCACAGGCTGCAGGAGCGCCGCAGCGCACAGCAGGAGCAGGCACGCTGCTCCGAGGAAAGGTGGGAGCCAAGCGGCTCTGAAACTCACACGAACAGACAGTTCTAAATTCCAACGGACAAGGCAGGCATCAAACGAGGAAAATTACCGAAGGAGCCGTTCTCAACATCACACAGGGCAAGAGTCCACATGAGGACCCCTCAGGAATGGTAAACTGTCTTGACTATCTTAACTTTCCAAAAGTAACTACTTTACCATGTAGACACTAGCAAGCATGAGGGCCAACATGAGACTTTTATTTAAGCTGATTATAAATCAAGATTCACTGCTTCACATATGAAGCCACATATTTACAGAGGATGGGTCTAAAGTAGCAGGCCTCGCGTAGAAGGTAGTCTCTGACAAGATCCTGAACCCAAAGTGAAAGGAATGCACTGCTGCACTTCATGCGAAGTCGGAACCAGGACCGAGATTTCGAAAGCTCAGAGCTCCTGCGGTAGAAGGGCAAGTGGGCTGCGAAGCCTCCAGGCACAGGCAAATGGCGCCCCGGGCAAGGCAAGGGCTGGCGCCCCGGGTCCTGCTTCTCACTAAGAAACGATCCAAGTGACCTGGGACTTCACATACAACAGAGTCTGTTTTAACCTGGAATACTAAGCACTAGGAAACCCACTGAACATCATTTTATCTAGCTCCAAAATTCTTCAGATAAGTAAAACTAATAAGCGTATCTTACAGGAATAGCCTTTTTCTGAAAATAAACGAAATAGAGCAGGGAAACGGAAGATTCAAATGGGAGAAGACCTTTGAAAAATTATGGCCTCACATGCATGAGCAGCCTTAAAGAAAACACTTTTATGCTGTAGACAAAAAAAAGCCTAGTAAGTGTACAGTTACTATCAATGAGGGGTTGAACATTACCTTGTCCTTTACAGATAAAAAATATGTAATCAAAGTAATTTTCTATTTATTTATTTTTTTCCTCTCAAATACATCTTAAAAATAACAGACACAGGACCACAAAGACACAAAAAACAAGGCAGCCTCGGCTTATTTCAGAAAGGGGTTTCCTTTGATTCCTTTAGTTGATTTGCATAAAATTCAAAGCTTTCCTGTTTAGGGAAAAAGAAAGAGGAGAAAGAAAGAAGAAAGTTATTGAGAAACCAGCAAGTCGTGACGGCACAAAACTTTACAATCACAAAGCACCGCAAGACTTTGGGGTAGCCAAGACTGTGGGGCCCACGACCAGCCCGCTCTCAAGCGCTGGCATTCCCGCCCGAGGGTCTCAAGTGCAGTTAAAGCTGGCACCAGGAGCCTCGCACACGCATTTCTATGCATGCAGGTATTCACACTTCCCCGGACGTGGGACACTCAGGTGTCTGAAATAAACAGTGTAACGCCTTTCAGTTTACTGACGCAATACAATGGAATTCCACGTATGTGCCTTCTCTTACTAAAGTGAACCAGATCTCCTAGATCATGAAGAAGTAAAAACCAACTTACTTGAAATGAATGTGTAGGGCTGGGGACATAGCCCAGCGGCACAGTACCTGCCTGGCAAGCACAAGGTCCAAAGTTCGATTCCCTGTATGCCCCTCCCCCCCCAAAAAAAAGAAAAAGAAAAAGAAAAAGCTTGGCTACTGAAATATGGGGCCACAAAATCACATCCCAAGAGGAGATGGTGAGCACTGCCCAACATGACAGTCTCGCAGAGCTGCCACGTGCGCCTCAGCCCCAGGGGCTGCGCTCTCCCTGGCCACAGCCAGGGCCCTGGCGCCCTTAGGCCCTCCCGGGCAGCTCCTCCTCGACACCTAATCCTCGTGTAATGAAGTATTCAACTTATTTTTCTGTACATTCCTATGAGGCGTACGTAAGTCGGCGGAGGTCTCTTCTCCTCTTAATTAAGAACTACTCACAGGGGGCTCAGTGAAAGGAACAGATTCTCCAGCTTTCTTCAGCAGAACTGCGTAACGCTTTAGAAACAGGTTATTCAGTTTCATGTTTTTTGTAGTCACGTGTTCATACAGCCTTTTAGCAGATGATACATCATTGTCCACAACTGACCAAGTTAAAGAAGAAAAATACATTAATCACAGGTGAATATGCCCTATCTCTCTCTTTTCACCAGAACAACCTACTGGCTGCGATCGCCTTGGCTCTCTTTATCCCAAGGCAAATGGGGCCCTGGGGCCACATCTGTAGTCTCCAACCGTCCTCACTGCTTCTCTACCTCGACACCCTCGTGTAACATTACTCACTGAGGAGGAGAAGGGAAATGACAAGCAAAATCCTTTGGAGCAATATGAATGGTGTCAGGTACTTCGGTTATTACAGGGTCAGAGATCCATGATAGTTAAAGCGGCCATAAACTGAAGTTCTCAACCCGTCCAGGCTCTCCCTAAATGGGAGCCAGGATGAATGACAGCAACTCCTGAGTGGGACCAGACCAACTGAGTTTAGCTAAAGCCATCTTCCTCTGTAGAAATCCCCTGCTCCCCTCCCACACAGCCTGCCCAGCCCTTCCCATACTATTATCAAGTCTTCAGGCTCCACGTTCTAGGAAGCTGCCTCAGGAAACTCTAGTATCTTTCTCTCCTTCCTGTATATTTTGGTAGTAGCATGTAAGTGCTTATGCTTTGACTTATTTCATGTTACTTAGTTATTGGAAAGTTGAGGAGGTTAATGATGAAACCTCTTTTTTTTTTGAGAGAAGGTCTTGCTATGTAGACCAGGCTGGCCTCCAATGCACATCAGTTCTCCTGCCTCAGCCTCCCTAGTGCTGGAATTATAGGTGTGTGCCACCATGCCTGGCTATGCTTTTATTTTGAAATAAGGATACAGTCCCGTTGTAAGGCTAGAAAAAGAACCAATTTACTAATTCTGACTGCGCAATCTCGTCTTGCCAATAATAAAAACAAAACAATTCTTTATGTACTACATCAATTAGCAGATGGCAAAATGACCACCATTTAGAAATGATAACATTTATCTGAGCAGTGAGGAAACATTAGATCAGTTCCCTTTCGTTGTGATTTCTGGCAACGAGGGACCAACTGGCCAAAAGACTGCAATTTCCCCTGGGACTCGGCTGAGCTGTGGGCTACGTTTAGAGAAGGGGCACCGGGCGAGGAGGAAGGCAAGGCAAACGCCAGCCTCAAACAGGCCAGGCCCCCGCACGCTGCCTTTCAGGTGCAGGGCCGTGAGGAGGGGGACTGGTTTCCAATACGTAAGATAAGCGAACTTCCAAGTCTTTCTCAGAGCCTGGGATCCTACCCACCATACCTGGGCTGCCCTGAAAATGCTCAGTGATACCTTTCAGTGTGAGTTATATGAGTAATCTTCACGCAGCTTCCACATATTCTAGGGCTAAGTAAATCATTTACAGCCTCAGTAAATGCCTGATATTCATAATTACTGCCTTTGCGCTAAAGACTTACTTGACTCTACTACAAAAGTTTAAATCACATAAATAATATATTAAGATTAAATTTATTACCATAGCTTTTCATGATGGATGTGTACGCTTCTTCCCTGTCATGTAATTCAGGAATCAATTCGAACAGAGATTTCAGAACTGACGCCTAGGAAATTAAAATGCAGGTAACATTGCCACAGACTCGAAAGAATAGTGAAACAGGCCACTAGTAAGTAAATACTACAGCAGAAAACCTTGACAATAGTTACAAAAAACTACCTACTCAGTGTAATGATTTTTCCTTCTGTGCACCTCAGCAACTGATGTTGCTTCCATTAATTTACACCTAAAACAAGTTAGCATCTTTCAGAAGATGATGGTATTCTACTTACATTTCTATGAAGATTTTCTAAAACATTTAAACATATTATTTCAGGATAATGTGTCTAAATATCTAGTGACTTCTTCTTTTATCCACTAGTAACCAAGCCAAACAGTTATGAGACCTCAACGGTGTAAGAGATACCAGCTAGATTTTGAGATGTCAAAATTTTTTTATGAAATGTGAAGAATTCAGTCAAATATTCTAGAGTTTCCCCTGCTTGGAACATAAAAAGAGCCATGTGCAGGATCTCACTGGAATTTTTATTTGAACTGTGGAAAGATATGTAGATACATCTATGGTCTTATTTCCTGTAGAGAATCTACACGTATCTTACTCTAGTGAGTAACAGATCAAATAGTATTTCCAGACACACTGTGGAACAAATCGATGATGAATTTTACGTGCATTTAGATTGTGGTGCCATCTCACAAGAGGCTAAATCTGGCTTAACTATTCTACTGTCGAATAACAGGACACTGTAACTAGTATTTTAAAACTCCTAATTCCCTTTTAAGCATGTATATTCAGTCAACCCACACTGAGGCCTGTATCTTCCCCAGACTTACTACATCCTAAAGTTTCCTGTAAGGAATGTTCTAAGGAGATATAGTTACTTTATGCTTCCTGTCCCATCTCTGTATCCAGGCAGTAACAATCCAGCACAGCACCACATATGGACTGACAAGTGCTTGCCTGATCGACTGATTCATCCATCCATCCTTTTCTTTTTGAAACAGGGTATATATGAGGTAGTCTAGGCTGGCCTTGAACCTGTATATAGCCCAAACTGGCCTCAAAGTCACAATCCTATTGCCTCAGACTCCCACAGTGCTGGGGTTACAGATTTGTGTCCCCAGACCTGGCCTACAAGTGTTTTGTAGATCCCTACACTTTTTTTTCCCTTGTCATGCTAGGGACGGACCCCAGGGCTTCATGTAAACTAAGCCCAAACCCTATCGCTGAGCATGTTCTAATCCATACCCCTGCTCAGATTCTTGTTCTTTTTAAAAACTTGAAAGGAATCTCTCCAAATGGGGGTAGGGATATACAACGGAGTATTTTCTAAACACTGTTGCATATAAATTCAAGACTCAGACATTAGAAAGTGTGATTAGGTTACATTTTTAAAAAGTAGGTGTACAGGAAGGGGAAATAAAGGAAAACCAGATCTCTCTGCCTTTGGTGAACTGTTTAAGTAGTTTCACCTCCAACAAAAACTACAATTTATATTCAGTTTGAAATCAAGAACCCGAATCACTTGAGCAGGAAGTTCCTGAGCTCAACAGGTAAAAGGAGATCTAAAGTAATTTTTGGCACCATGATTTTATTCTTTTAAACGTCAAAAATACATTATGTCGCACGTGTCTGCACACCCCTTTCACAGTACAGGTAAGACAAAGTGTACCAAAAGAACGTGAGTTTGGTAGACGACATCAATTTTAAAGGGGAATGGTTCACTGGCCTGTGACGGCTTCTAGCTGAGAAATGGTCAACAGCGGCCATCCAATGGGACATACTCCGCAGCGGTTAGTTTCCTTCCGCACTGCTTCTGCCTTATTAAATGCACCAAGGTGACTTAAGCCATGTGACTTACTACCACTAAGGAGTCATAACTGACTCTGCATCAACACCCTACAAATTAAGAGTCTTCAGTCTTGATGGTGTTTCGTTTAAGATCCTGAGCCAGCAGGCTCTTCTGTTCAACCACGGAACAAGACTGTCTTTGATTTGTTTACAAGTAGTGTACATACCTTTCCTTGTTTCTGAGCATTCCTAATACAGAACACCAACAGAATTGGGGTTTGTTCAGCAATTGCGCCACATCTCTAAAAATGAAATTATTCAGTAAGCAAACGTTTCTGATAAATAAGCAGACCAAGGCAAGTATTTTCAGTTAACGAAGTCCACAATGATACAGTAGTGTGTCGTTACCACCAGGAAAGCCTAATAGTCGGCCACGGTTTTGTAAGGCCAGAAAGAAAAGAAAACAAGCACCAGCTACGCCAAGCTCTGGCGAACACTTCCTTGGCGCTGCAAGTGCAAAGTTTGTTTAAAAAGAAAAGGGAAAAATTACACCAGTGCTTCAACAACCACAGTACAAGGGTTAAGACTGCAACGAAAGAGGAAAAAAAGAAACATTATTCCTCTCCAATTATACTGCCAAGCATTCACAAGTGAGCTAGGGATCATAAGGTTAATTATACATTTAATAAGGTGTCAGGGAGATAACTGCTCGTTTCTTTATAAAAATTAAAATGTACAAAGCAAGTTCTCTTTAAAGTATAATTACCTACACTTATGCATACAAAAGGACTGATTTCAATCTCTCTATTTTATAAAAGGCTTTCATTGCAACAGACAGCCAATGCTTGAGAAAGAGACAAAAGTTAAACTAAAAAAAAAAGTTTATATGACAGACCAGATAAATCAAGTGTCTATCCAATCTTGGTGCTATAGTCAAATCAAATATGGCAAGACAATATTTTAGTTTACACTCATCATAGGTGTCATTCTCTTTAAGTTTCTAAAAGCACATTGCTCTTTCAAAGCTCTGAAACACTGTCAATACTAAAATGAGGAGTACAAAAAGAACTTTTGGGGGCACACGGAACATTTACATTATAAACTGATGTTTTCAATATCTGTGAATAAAATGTTCTATGCTAAAGCAAGAATAATCCTTCACTGTTTGACAGGCAGGTCTAAGATGAGAAAAGGGCTTATCATCTGGAACTTCAGTTGAATGATGGGACATAAGCAAAAAGACAGCTGCTGTAGCAGTAACACTCAGCTGTCACTGAGAGATCTTGGGTTAGGCCACCAGGTCAGAGCCTGGCTATCTCCCCGCCTACTGGCTATGTTCTCTATGTGCCTCAAGATTACGGCTGAGAATAAGTTGCAAGGGGAAGTCAAGGGTCACTGTCTAGGAAAGCTGTCAGAAAGAGTATACTTAAAGCTGAATAAACTGAATAAATACTGAGTAAGCTGAAAACATACTCTCACTGCTTATACCCCTAGCTACATATACATGAAGATAAAGCGAGTTAGATTAAGACAGAATTTAACAGTAAAGGCAGCAAGACACAACAAACTGTTCCTGAAATCCCTATTATACACTGCTTTTTCCTTAAAAAGGGGGAGGGTGTGTTGGTAAAAGCGCCAAATCAAACAAGGAGCTTCACAATTAACTGGAATTCCTCTATGCCCATAAGCAAAAGTAAAAGCCTCAGCATCAGCGCCAATTTACCTTTTTTTAATATATAACTGCTAACTCAAAGGGAATACTTCAGCCGTTTCCTTTTAAAATGCTTTGGATTCTACTGTCAGGCTAGATGGACTTTAAGAATCAAAACTGGAGCTCAAGCAAATGGGTGCAGTTTCACCTTCCCTATTTCCTACTTAAGATATAGCACAGCTGGTAGAAATGTAGGTGAATATAGTACTGTTTACTATCAAAAATTGGTCTCAGGCCTCAATTTGACACAGGGAGTCTATACAAACACAGCCGCTGGCAGGATCACGGTGACTGTTTGACTGCCACCTGCTGGGAAGGGGCTCCCCAGCGGTGCCTGTTTGTGTACACTGCCAGCGATCACCTACCGTTCTGCCGCACTTGGTGCAGCTTTATATTTAGTTCTGTTAAAATGGTATGAATGCGGTTGTCTCCTTCCCTGAAGATTGCTAATTTAACTGAGAGTGCGGGCCACAGAGACCTGCATTTGTCATTTAATGTGTCTGTGACACACAGCTGAATAGAAAGCAAAATCAACTCTTAATAAACCTTGAATAAGGCACTGAGAATGTCTTGAGTATTCAGTGAGAAGCTGTACTTGAAAAGCAAACACTCCCTACTTTTTATTGGTAAACTGTGTTGTCATGGTGATGCACACTATTTAGAGCATTAGAGAAATTAAGATAGAAAAATCAAAGGAACTGTTGTTTTGCATTGCCTACCTGCAGGGAAACATTTGTTTTTAAATCATTTCAACAAAATTCACCCTCCCCATTCTTGACCCCTTCTTAAATTCTAAGAACATTTCTCATCCTATTTGGCATTTTTAACACTGGCAAACTACAACCTGAAATCCAGCTCCCTGTCATGCAACTATGATTCACACAGAATTCAAAGAGTTTAGCAGTACTGCGCCTTACTTCCGGAGTCCCACACACAAGCATGCCCAGTAATTTTCCAGCGGCTTCTCCCTAACTACAAGCGCCACTGCTCTGAGTTGTTACCTGTAGAAGAGCTCTGGCATCATCCACCTTGCCTGAATCCACAAGCTGAAGGAAAAGATCAGTGACTGGTTTGTACACTGAAAACTGATTGGCCAATCTCTCTGCCATGATGCTTACTGGAAAATGACAGGTAAGAAAAACCTCTTGTTAGAACAGTAGTATGATTTATCCATTGAAGAAATTTGGTCAAGGTTCTCCAGACAGCAAGTGTATTTCTGTGTTCTTTAACTGAACAACCAACTTACATTTTTCAACTGCTGTCTCCATGTGTCCCTCTATTGCTTTTCTGAATAAGTATGACAAGCCAAAGTACTGAGGTGCTACGACTGGGTTCCCTGAAGTAAGCATGTTTTCAATGTTCTCTACAGCAACATCTATGTTATTGCTAAAAAGAAAGCAAAATAAACTATTTTTAAAAACTGTTCTTATATCAATATTGCAGTCAGTTTTAGTATAAGAACTTACTTTTAGATCCACTCATGCACATATTTTAGGAAACGCAGTAATATGTTTATAATGAAGAAGACTAAGAAAACATTGTATAATTAAATCACATTCAGGTAGCAAAAGCAATCACTGAGCAGTTCGAGCTACAGTAGCTGCTTATCTTAGTTGAATAGTTATTTTAAAATATTGCTCTAAAATTAAAAAATAAAAATAAAATATGGCTCGAGATAAGATCAAATTATATATATATAAATTAATGAGAATAATTTTATCTGAAATGTTTGATTTTGGATATAAAATGATAATCTATATAAGTGCTAGAATTCTGGTTTTATAATCTATAACTGGTCCCTACTGTACAAGGTAAAGATAGTATATTACAGCTTTTAAAGACGGTCATGTTTGCACCTGGTGTATTTTCATGTCTCTAACCCACAGTCACATAAATTTCCTTTTGTAAGCTAGTATACATTTGGAAAATGCATTAAAATTCTCTGAAACACTATCTTTATGCTGAAAAGAATCAACTATATGACTACAGAGCAAATTATGAAAAACAATTTCATAGATTTTTAGTTAAGATAATTTGTAATTGATATTTTATGATACTCAAGTCCAAATAACTGATTTTATGCTTGCATGAGTATATGAGAAATAAGAATTCTCTAACTTGAAGTGAAAATCCTGAGACATGTTTCTTATGGATTTCAATCCCTTACTTAATAGTGAATAGAAACATGTCCTTCAGAAAGTATTTATAGTATATAGTTCTGTAAAATTCATTCAGCTTCTACTAGAATGTCCTTGATCTTCTAACTTAAAAGAATTCCATCTTCTTATTAAAAGGACAGTCTGAAGTTCTACTTAAGGAAATAATTTTAAAGGGTAAAAACAAAACAAAACACAACTGTTTGGGAGCTTAAAGGAATAGGAACAAACAAAAAATCCTGCAACACCAAACACACGTGACAGGACTAACAACTGAAGAACCCCCCCAACGGCTTTCTAAGTGTCAGTTCCGTATTATCCCTATGGGTCTTGAACTTGAGCAAAGTACTTTGCTAGTGAGGTTAACAAAAGAATGACATTCTCTTCAGTGATGAGTCCACACAAGGAATCTAGGGGTGGTGGTCAGGAAATCCAGTCTAATCATGTGGGGGTGGGTGCTGGTAAGGTGGGCGGGTGAGGAGTGCAGAAATGAGTTTTTGTGCGTGCTAGGTATGGAACCAAGGGGCCTCATGCATGTTACATACATGCTCTACGTACATACCAGCTGCATCCCTAACCACAGACACGTACAACTTTGACAAGTTTGCTGAGCCCTCTGTTTCACAATATGCTAGTGGAGTGTCACTCTCAACGACTGCTGACAAATGAAATCATTTTCACTTTTGTAAAGAAGTGTTTTGACAAGAGTTACGGCATGCACACATACCCACACGCACACACACACAAATATGGATACGCACACACACACAAGGAAAGTTAGCAATTGTGAAGTTCTATGAATCTGGTAAATGTTTATTCTAAGATTAAATTTAAATATATATTTTCAACATATTAATCATTCATAATAGGAAATGATCAGCAACAATAATCAGCACTGAAATCGCCTAAGTTGATATGGTTTCCAAAGGCATTAAAAAGTTTTTAAAGGTGCTATTTGACATAATGTTCACTGAAAAAAACTTGAGAATACTTACTTCTTCATTTGTGCTAAAGCAATGTTATTAATAAAAACCATTCTTGATAGCCCAATCTCGTCCCGTCCACTGACCATCTTTTGAATAGCTTCTATGCTTTGTACATCACCCTTAGAGGCAAAGGTCTGGATAAGGCGGGTCACTGAGAACTTAGAAGGAATCTGGTCCAGATCCAAGGCTGTTTTCAGAGTTGCGAGAGCCTCTAAAATAGAAGAACAAAGTGTATAGCTTTCCTTATTTGACTCATATTGACTTTAATGTATTTTGAAAACCAGCTTTTAAATCTGAGCACCAAATGGCTATATTAAAAAAGCAAGCGATAAATAATTTATTCTAGATTACAGAAAATATTAATACTTCATAAGGAATCTTAAAAAAAGGATTTGATTATCTATAAAGTATTAGAGACCACAGAAACTTACGTCGTGAAGAGAACATAAGTGTGACTGGACTGGCAATCTGAGTTCCACTCAGGTATAACATTTTTCCATGCCTAATTCCAATGATGTTCATAGATTCAGAAGTATAAATAAGGAAGAATTTTAAAAATTAAGGAGTTTCCAAAAATATGTAACCTTTAGCCAGATTTATACTTTCCTAAATTTTATTAACGCAAAGATTACGTGATTATAAAAAAACTTTTAACACTTCCAAGATTTTTTTCTGGAAAGTAACTCTCTCTGGTCCAAATAAGATTTATCACTTTGGAGCAGCCAAACTGGAAAATTCAATTTTCCACTAATGGATTTATTTTACATTAAAAATTACCCTACAGATAATTTCTTGTGTTCAATTTGTAAAGAAAATAAAGCTTACTCAATTCTTATGGCTATAGCAAATGGTATTTTGTTTACTTGAAGAATCACAATTGCAAGTACTTGACTATGAATAAATATGGAATACCCTTCTGATTTTTAGACTCATCTACAAGGGTAGCGAAATCCTTATGTTAAACAGGAGTAGTAGACTGGAGGGGGATGTAGTAATATTTGGCATAACAATCACCGCACTAGCACTACCGAAGAAAACTTCACAGCTTCATAGCAATTACAGCAATGTAACCTAGACAAAACTAAGACTCTCAAAGCAGCTTTCTGAATAAGAACAGCTTATCTTTCACAGAAGAATGGGAAAGGGTAATAATTAAACAGTCTATAAAAACAATATGGCAAAAGACATGATGAATTTAATCTTTATTACTGAATAAACTATTATTACTTAAAATCTATAAATAACCTAAGCCCACAATTCTCAAACAGGGCATATAGGTCACTTGAAAATCATATTCGATAAAATTTTATAAATATACATTCTAGATTACAGAAAATATATAGGAAACAAAAAGGTTTTCTAATATTTTAAAAATATAACCTACAGAAAATAAGCTTGATAATGTCTTATTAACTTGAAGTCATACACAGATAAAATGTTTTCAGTATCTTAAGTACTAATGTTAGGGAAAATCTTCTTACTAGGGGATCAAAATAACAAAAATATAATGGTAACTGGAATTTATTAAGCATTTTATTGTATTTGCTAAGCATTTATTAAATACCAGACCTAGTACTATGAATCTATACTCAAAACCAACCTATTGAGGTAAGTACTCATTTTTACAGGTAGGACTAAGGCAGAGAGTTTAGTATTTTCCTGAGGTCAGTCATACTGCTAGATACCAACTTGAGTCCAACCATCACAGAGGCTGCATCTATGAGTACGTGCAAGTGGCGGGAGGCAGGCTGAATAGACCGTTTTCTGCTATCCAGAGGGTACATGAGAGCTTATGACCTAAATCATATTCTTATACAGAATTTGTCATCATAATGACCTAACACACACACACACACACACACACACACTCTCTCTCTCTCAAGTCTTTTCCACTATCAGCCAATTTCAGCATTTACTCAGTAACTCACAGTGCTGAGTATACTGCAAAGGTGCTAGCATGCATGAGCTATTCAGCACATTTATAAAATTACATGGAGATACATCTGACTTTATTGTTTTCTTACTGCCTTAGATGGGGTTGATTAAATGAAACCCAGAAAAGAGAAGGGCACAGAATGGAAGGCAATTATGAAGCTCAGGAACTTTCAACACCCATGGAGCAAAATGTGGAAATGAAAACAGGGCAACAGCATTCTCATCCTCACAGGCAACTACCTTACTCCCATGTGAGGTAGAACCTTGGTGAGACTGAGCACCAGGGGTTCAGGTGGGGGCTACAGAGGGAGCATTACGCTCCCCACATCTGTTCTCGACAAGGATCCACTCAAGCTGACCAGTGGAGAAAAGCAGACGAGAAACTACATTTGTGCACTTTCTTATCATTTTCGCAGGGCACTTTCATATAAGTAGAGGGTAGTAGTCAAAATAAAACACGAGTGAGGTTCAGCTCAACATGCACCCCTGAAATTGAAATTAAAAAGTGCTTTGTTCTTTTTATCTATAGAAATATAAGCTATTTACCAGAATGAGCTTATTTATGAGTAGCAAGTTTAACTCTTCAGTGTCTTAAAACTGTCATCTCTATATGAAAAATAAGCTTAACAAAGTTTAACAGTAAGCCCCACACCATTCAATTATGCTTCAGGGCTGTCCAAAGAGATGTCTAGATGGCCAGCTTTGCCTGAGGAACAGCAAGGTGGAAATGTGGCAAAGGGAGAGATCAGCATTTAGACGTTCAGTACTGGTTAGTTACGGAGACAACTAAGGACCAGCATGTCTAGGTACAAGCAACAGCGAGGCTACGCAATTAGCACAACTCTTTCTCAGAGATGTGAAATTATTTTACAAACATGCAAGCAAGGAAAAAACATTAAAGAAGGGCAAGAAACTAAGTAAGAGATTTAAGTGTTAAAGAGCTTTTCCTCCAGCCATAAACCAAATGGATTTTGCTGTACTAGTAAAACTGTGGTGTTAACCGTATTGGCTAAAATTCAAATGTGAAAAGCTTCTTACCGAAAGAGAGTTATTACTGTCCCCCTTGGGAGCTCATTCACAAGACCTCCAAACCCACCTCCACCCCACCAGGCAAACTGATAAACAGCCTCTATCAAATCAGCAAGCCCCATCCCAGTACTCACAAAGTCCTCTCCACATCATTCTGGCGTCACCCCCTATGCATTTAAAAACTCTAAACTGCATTTTATTGCTGTTGGTATTATGAACTATTAAAAAAGTATTAGATTAAGTTTTAAAAATCAATATTATAATCATTTGGCACACAGTCTCACACATTTAACACTCAATTTAACACATTTGCTATCTCATATACAACCCAACACAATATGCAAGAAACAACTGCTGGGAATTGTTTCAGATGTTCGAAAGTATGTTAATTTCCAAAGCAAAATGACTTGTGCTGTGAATTTTAACACACTTGAAAGCCTGTACTTTCTCTCGTCCTGGAACACAAATTTTGCATGTCTGAAGAGCTGTGATTCATCTTAAGAAAACCCATCTTGTGTTAAATGGAATGGAAACTGGACTAAGTGGTCAAATGACAAGTACATTCATATTCAAGCTGTATTATAAATGCATGTACAGTAATTTACGTCTCTCAGCTACCACAAAAGGCTCTTGATAAGCAGGTAATTTGCTAAATGGACTCCTTTATCCAAGTATTCGAAGGGCGTTACAAGAAAAATCTGCAGAGGCATTAATGTGACGTAAAGGTCAAGCATTGTGACATACCTTTCAAATAATCCCGCCTAACTTGCGTTATGATGAGGATGCTGTTGGCAGCATCGTTCAGTGTGAAGCCCTTGATGTGGGTCTCAGCGCTAAAAGAAGCAGACATTTAGAAAGGAATTACTGACATGCTTCTGATACGATAATAAATGGTTGAGCACCAAGGTGAAATTATAAAAACTACTGTTCGTATGTTAAAAATATTGCTGCAAAATATCGACCTGGAGACAGCTTTTGTGTTATCCTGTCAATGGTTATAGAAGGATAATTTTTTTTTGCATTCTGACAGATGACAAAGTTGGAAATGAGCAACAAAAGAAACAAAGTACAAGATTTTTTTTAAACAATCGGTTCAAATTCTTGAATGCTGACATATTAGATGACTAAAATAACTGCATGCCCTGCATTGTTCGGCTGTATCCTAAGTGGGATACTTTTTCCTCTTTTTTCTACATTCACCATAATTATAAAATGTAAAACTATTCTTCCAGCAACAAAAATGAACATTTATTTTCGGCACTGTATATTTTAAATATAAACTAAAGCATATTACTAACCAACACCATATCATTTGGTTGATTAATTTTCAAATTTCTGTCATCTAGATACATACAGTTTTTACAGCTTTTAAACATATTGGCAGAACTAAAACTGTCGTTACATTAAAATTAAAAATCTTCATACAACAACTTGTCCCAGCTTTAAATCTGAAACAGAACTCCTAACTTTTAAAAACTCAACAGTAAAAAATTCCTTTACTTTGACTAGAACCTACAGGATTAAAAAACAAACAAGGCTAAAATCCTAACAATTGGGTATTATTTGTTTGCAAGACTCTTGTGATGAAATTTCAGCATCCTTAATGCACTGAAGGTTCATCTCCCGTTGAGGAAGTCTCCGAAGGTCAGAAGGAGCAAAAGCAACTGCTGCCATTTGCTGTATCAAAGCTCAGTGACAACCTCACTGCCAACACAAGCCTACACAGTGAGCAGATTGCCACGAAAGCGGGTCACTGCTGCGTTATTCCCATCACTCCCAGGAAAACCCTCCAAAGACACTGCAACACCCATCCTCTCAGTCACTTTCAGCCTCCAAGGTTTACCCTGTCGTCTCTGGACGCAGGATTTTCTTATCCCACTGACCAAATCCTCTTAACCCCACCAAAGTACCCATTGCTCAGTTTGACTTTTTCCCTGTGTCCCATCTGTCAAAGGTTTTTAAGTCAACAACTCATGTATGAGACTATAAAGTACATAAAATAAAGGATTTTCTTTCTCAAGCTGTAGCATGATTAAATAAATTAGACACTATTAAAAGCTCATTCTCAGGTCAATATTATATGTATTATGCAACACTTAAAAATATTATCTAAAATTCTAAAACAAGTACAATTTCTTTTAACTAAAAAGTATGAACCTTGCAAATCTTTCAAAAACCTCAAACATGTAACATTTTTCTTTTATCAACAATCTCTTCCTATCTCAAGAAGCTACCTATTCATGACAAATATGAAACTAGAAATAAGTATCAGGAAGAAAAAACATCTCAAATCTTGTAAATGTAGAAACAGATCAATCAAAATATAATCCAAACTGGGAAGAAGAGAGAAACTACAAGATATTACTGACAGAGACCTTTGCACTGGAATCATTCATATAATAAAAGAAAGTGTGTATTTTTTATCTGAGCTGCCTACTAGGTTGGTCACTAGGCATATATGACTACTTTTACAGAGGAACAGAAAATATAATCTATTATATTTAAATTTAAGTAATTTAAATAGACACACATGGCTAGTGACTACTGGAGTGAACAGCATACAATTCTAAACTTTTTTTTTTTGAGGCTAGCCAGAAAGTAAAGGAAAACAATTACAGGGAGTGGAAAGGGTTAATCTTTCAACTTAGAATCAACTGCAAAAATCAATCTATCGTAACCAAAAAAGATAGCACTACGATGACATTAGACATCTCAGTAATGAATGGACTACAGACTGTGCTTATAGAACACCAACAGGTACACAGGATATTAGTTTGTGCTAATTTATATTACTTTGGAAAACATTTCCAGATGGAACGAAATAGCAGCTAGCAGGGACGAGGAAAAATGATGTGCCACTCTCAAAAGATAAAGCAGGGTGATGATATGATTCTCATCTGTAACAGTGTTTAGTTATCAGAGATTTAAAGTAATAATTCACTTCCCTTCTCTTCCCTTGAAACAATTCACTGTAAGTAAATTTTTAGTTTGAAAAAGTAAAGATAAAAGAAAGCTGGCTTCTAAAAATTTCCCAGGCAGCTCTTACTGTTACTTTTGAGGTTTACTTGTTCAGAAGGGTCAATGGCCTCATCAGTAAAGCTGAAGAAATCTCCTTAGAAGTTAAGTGCATGTGTGTATATCAGAGACAGCAAAAACCAAAGATGGCATTTTTTTACATTTATAGGAAATTAAGATTGCTCTTAAGATTAGTGGCATGACAGGGATAATTGTAACAATAAATTCCTATTTATGGATTGCATAAGGGCCCCAAAATAATACTAGGGGCTACTACCTCTTCCTATATACAGTAGCTCATATGGTTATCTGGCTACTACTTTTCTTTTTTTTTTGTTTTTTTTCCAGTACTGGGAATCGAACTCGCGACCTTGTGCTTGCCAGGCAGGCGCTGCACTGCTGAGCTAAATCCCCAGCCCTGGCTACTTCTTTTCTACTCTGATCACTGATGCAGAGCTGGAACAGAAAGAGATGACATCATCTAGAACTGGTCATCAACTAGGAAATGAGTCTTGAAAGATGCATGACGTACCTCCAGTAAAACAATTAATTGTATAAATGGAAATTGAACTTTCACTTATGAATTCCCAGTCCAGGGTTATTTTAAAATTTGCTCCACATAGATTTAACCTGAGTTACAATTCTATGTAGGTAGATACATTTTATTGACTCAAGAAAAAGGGCATGCATCCAATCGCCAGGCTGATCTTGGGCTTTGGATCCTACACAGTTACATGGGGAAGACAGCTGTAGTATAAACTGAGTAGGATAACACAGCTAAAACAAATAGAAGTGTTTTCAATCATACAAAAAGTCTTGGTTTATATGTGGAATCTAAAACGTGAAACTCAAAGCAGAGAGCAAAATGATGGTTGTCAGGGGCTGGATAGAGAGAAATGGGGAGATGATGGTGAAAGGAAGGGCACAAAGGTTTCCTTCAAGGTTCTGTTCCGGAGCGCCACACAGCACAGTGCCTACACCTAACAATACTGTACTCTACACTTAAACTGTACGAGGGATGTGCTCTTACATGTGCGTGCACAAAGACAACTGCAGACAAGGCGGGGAAACTCTGGGAAGCGAAGGCTATGTTTATGGCCTTGACGGGGAGATGTTTGCATGGGTGTACATACACACTGTGCACATATGCACATCTTTTCATAGGTAAATCATACCTCAAAAAAGCCTCATGGAAATCTAGAGAAGGAGGGAAGACGATTAAACTTGGATTTTATAGGTTGTGGATGTAAGGGGAAACCAAGGGGCTATGATTATAACGGTATTCTAGATCAGCATCCTTCGTATTAGTTGGATTAAGACCCATAGCAGGCTACACCAATGGTTTACACTACATCTTACATAACTATGCAACTGAAATCAACATTTCACCAGGAACATGACGTGGTTTGATATTTTCTAGTCTATTTCACTTTTTAAAAGATTCTATTCCACTGAACAGATTCCATGAGGCACTGAATTGGCTGTAATTACAGTTCAGAAAACACTGTAGGCCAGCGGCCTTCAGTGACACCATGCACATACTGCCTGAACACCCCAGGAGGCAAGGAAACAATTATACCCTCACTTTTCAATCTTACTGTATGAACATTTTCTACTTTTCTAGCATGTCCTACAATACAATTATATGTGACATGGAAAGGAGCATAATCATACAAAGGGGAGCACAATCAAAATGTTTGAGACACTTTCTGAGTCACCTGGGGTGCTTAGTAGAGGGCACACTCCTGGGTCCCCCATAAGATCAGCTCATCAGAACCTTTGTGGTGGGCTATGGGGAATCTTTTCATACTTCAGAGTAAGAATATTTCCACAATAAGCCCAATTAAAATAAAGGAATTTTAATCTGTACTTTTGAAAAGTATTTCAGGTCTCTGTGACTAACCTCAGGATTAAATTTTTTAAGTTTTCCTTCTTTGCTTATACTATATCGTATATAACTGAAACCAACATTTCACTAGGAACTGTTGGCGAACATTTTAGAGGTGAGTGTCTAAACTGCAACCCAAAATTCAAACCTGAATACTGAGCTTCAATCATACACAGGTGGCAACACAAAATGTCCCTGCTTTTCTGCCTATCTTTCCATATCATGGTTTCAGAACACCTTTGATTATTATGGGATAGAGTTTCACAGTAATTCTTTGAGAAAATTAATATTAGAAAATAGACCACAGCCTTAGTGGTTAAACAAGATACTGTCCAATGTAAAAGTTTCCAAGGCAGTGACCGCACACTTTAGAGATTCTTAAGTTAACAAGCACATGAGTAATACACAAATGAGGCACTTACTACATTAAATACTTGAATAGTCCCAGTGTGACTGTCTCAGACATTCAAATGATTTAAAACCACATCCACTTTGATAAACAGTCTACATGACAAATTAGGCAACACACAAAAACCCGAACATGCTGTACTCCAACTCTATACAGCCCTACAATGTGTAACTTTCTAGAGACCTGAAAGAATGGTGAGCATCCTATTTCTGTTTGGGATTCTAATATTCCACAAGTACCATGACTTATACATTTTTAGGCTAAAAATTAGCTGAGATTATTTCAAAATTCACAGTATACCTGGAAAATGCTGAACTTTCCCATCATAAAGCTACTGACCCACAACAGGACATGTCTATGTTTCAAAGAAGGTGATCTTGAGCTCCTTTTTAGGTCATTTTTGGTTAATAACTCAACAGTAACTAAGGGTTAAGATGACAGAGCCAGACAACAGACACATCAATAAGGAACCTTTATTCCTGCTTGCATTAGCAAAGTATCTTCATCTAGGGGAGTGATGGCGAACCTTTTAGAGACAAGTGCCCAAACTGTAACTCCAAACTCACCACTGCTATCATTACCACCCAAACAGATTTTTAAAAAAACCCCAAAACTGAACCAAGACAGAACAGGAAAAAGGTAAAGGCACACCAAGGGTGTTGGACAGCTATGTTTTCTCTACCTCATTCTCAATATCGTGAAGAAATTTTCAGTACAGATAATATTTTGAACTCATCATAAGGAAGAAAAATTGAGGCTCAGAGATAGCAGGTAGTTTTTCCCAAGGTCAAAGTTCTTTCTTTCAAGTAAGATTCAAACCCTTGTCTAAGACTAAAGCCTTTGGTATCCTCTTTATATCAGGCTGCTCCACCACAAAGGATACATGGAGCTCGTGGCCAAACAAGAAGTAGAACATAATAAAATTTTGCTTTTCTGCACATGATATCTAAAATGAATTTTAGTAAAATGTATACAATTTTGGAAGGCCACTGGCAGCTAAATTTTTTTAGGTTAAAAAAAAACCTCATAAATGAGTTAACCTAAAATACAATTTTTATGGGTAGCTGAGGCTAATCAATTGTTGCTATAACAATATATCTTTAAAAACCCTAACAGAAGCCAATAGTTAACATGCAAGGTAAAAGTAGGCTCATACTTACGTGTCTTTCACTTTCATAGCTTCTGAGAAACTGTCCTTCAACAGCAGCAAGTGTATCAGAGTTGTGTAAGTATCACTGCTGAACATAATGTTTTTATTTTGTGCCTTCAGGAAAATACTAAATGCATCTATGAGGAAACAAAAAACGAGAGAGCATTATTCTGAGATGACCAAAGGGGAGGGAAAAAAAATCACACGTTTGTTTCTTTTAAAAAACACAACATGTTTGTTTCTTTTAAATACCCACCCACCACTACCACTCCACAGACAGACACCGCCTAAGCGGCGTCTCTCAAAATCACAGTTCTGGGAAATACTATGTCATCAAAATGGATGGTACCTAGAAGGATTTCCTTTTAAAACTATTTTTCATACTAGCTTCCTTAAGTCAATAAATTATGTTCATGCCAATAAAAATGAGAAACAGCTCTTCCAAATTTGTCAAAAGATGCCAGTTTCAAAATAAATAGCAAAATGTGTTAAAGTCCAAATAAACCAGAGGTATAATTTAGATTGAGGGGAGCAAAAGATTCATTTTAAAGCAATCTTTAATCTATAAGTGGGTGGTTTCAATGGTTAACATTTCAACACAATAGCATTAAAGCGAATATAACCTGTAATTCTAAAATTAGGAGATCAAATTATTTGGCTACGACAGGACTTATACAAAAACATACAATTTTCAAATATACAGATATCTAACAAGTAAACTAGGCAACATTTGTTTGACTGATTAACAGTTTTATTTCACTCGTTCACAATAACTGTCAGTGAATGAAAAGATGTTACCAAAAGAGAAGTAACTACACTTTTCAGTCACTTACTTTTCTGAAATAAAATTGCTTGGCTATAAACAGCCACCTGGGAACTACAACCCACTCTCCCGAGTGGAGAAACACATCGTAACAGAGACAGACCATGACTCAACCATCACATCCGGCCTTCTAGGAACACAAGGCCCGGTGTAAAGGAGAACAGAACACATAAGTAGGAGTGGAGACACCGATGTTCAGAAGAACGCAATACACTATTCAAAGGTTTCTCAATAGGCAAAACTGTTATGCTTGTATGGATGAGTCAGGAGAGTCGCTTATTCTGCCAACTAAACAAAGTGGCGAGACTAAAAACTTACTCATCTCTTCTAGCCAAGTTGGGAGGGCAAGAGACAAAATATGAAATAATTGTATCTCCATCATAATGAAGGAGAACAGTTTGGGGAGGTGAACAGGTATTTTGGTATAAGTTAATCAAATATTAAGCTTTCCAAAGAACAATACTTTTAGCATTAAATTACCAAGTGTCTTGCACCAGATTTTTGTTTGTAAACACCTTGTTTGTTCTAGGGCACTGGCAAAAAAAAGTGTAAAATAAAAACACACACAAAAGCGAGACAGAATTCTATATCCGTTTTTAAATTTTACTGCCAATATGAATCCGTCACAAATTTAAGAACAAAGTCACAGCATAGCTTTGCTACATAGCTATTTTAAGTCATGACATACGACTGTAAAAACACTCTTGTCATTCAGTACAATGTATACATTTGTCTTCCTTCTGTCTTTCTTGCTATTTTGCCTATGTTAGCAAACTCACAATTTTCCTACGGCAGCCTCCCGAATAGGTGGGATTACAGGGATGCACCACTGCACTCAATTCACGTATTTACTTTTTAAAGGCTGGCAAGAAGATTTAACGTAGCCAGATGAGGTGATGCACACCTATAGTCCCAGTACTTCGGAGCACTGAGGCAAAAGGGTCATCATAAGTTTGAGGTCAGCTTGGGCTACACAGTGAATTTAAAGCCAGCCTTAACTACATAGTGAGACTGCTTAAAAAAAATTGCATTATTGTCTATATCCTAATAACCACATGTAATGGTTCATTAGTTGCTGAATGAGGACATTTAATATGTAGTATCTGAATGTTTAAAATTAAACAAAACAAATCCAGAAACTCCTGTTATTTTCTGAGATTGTGGCACGCACTTTAAATTAGTGTGGCTCTGTTATTTTCCATTTTACACACACACACACACACACACACACACACACATATTTTATAGATAACTATGTTCCAGGACACTGGCAGAAAGGAGAAAATACATTCAGTAGACCTGATATCTTTTTTTTTTTTTTTGGTTTTTCTCCGGTACCAGGAATCGAACTCACGACCTTGTACTTGCCAGGCAGGCGCTGTGCCGCTGAGCTAAATCCCCAGCCCCTAGACCTGATATCTGATTAAGTCATAAATAATGGAATTCCTCTTTGTTTATCAGTGATTTTCTACTTTTTGCCATTGTAATGTACCAAACCCATTCACCATAGGTTTCTAGTGCAATTTTCATAATACATCTTTAAAAACTTAATACAAGCACTCCATTTTCTTTCTTTCTTTCTTTTTTTTGATACCAGGAATCGAACTCAGGAACTTGGGCTTGCCAGGCAGGTGCTGTGTCACTGAGCTACATCCCCATCCATTTTCAAAGCATTTACATCATGCTATGTATGTGAATCCTAAGACATACAAAAACTAAAAACCCTGAACTAACAAAATAAAACCAACTAACAATTATATTTAGTTAAATGCTTTCACTTAAAAACAATTTTTAAAAAGGTAATAAGGAGTTTTAAAATCTTTAATTATATATGAACCTTACATTCATTTTAGGTAACTCAAAATTTTATCAGAGTATTTACACAGTATGGACAAGGGAATTAATTTTATATTTAGCTTTAACAGCTACACGGTGAAAGACTCAAAGACAGACTACATAATGCAGCAAAGCAAAATGACTCCAGGAAATTAAAAGTTACACTCTGGGTAACTGAAAAAGAGGAAGAATTTAGCTAATACTTACTTCATACATTTTACATCAGTTTTAATTACATTTCCAGTTAAGTCAGGAAATTAAGTAATTCTATAAACTCTTACATTGATTTCTTCCTACTGAATAAAGGCCCCCACTGAATACATACTATCGCTATTAGAATAAAAAAAAAAGTTAAAAAAATCTGTTGCATGTATTCCTTAATAGTTAAATTTTAAAACAGTCATAACAGAGGTAGAGATATCTTCAGGAAAGTTTGCAAAGACGAAAAAAAACCTAATCATTTTTTTGCTTTAAAATAAGCTACAGTATTAGTCCCCAAAGCTGTGATCATGCTATTTTCAAAGTACAGTCGTGTGCCATGTAACATTTCAGATAACGCTGCTGAGCTCACTGGAGTACATCGCCCAGATACACAGCCTTCTCAGCGCAAGGGTACTCATGTCTGCACAGTGGCGGAATCAGTGACACATTTGTTACAATCTCCATTATTCAGGAACATGTGACTACGTAAGTCTTGCTTTTTAAAAAACTTATGCTAATAGGTTTTACTAAGAAAAATTCAAACATACAGAAAGCCCTATAAGAGGAGTATGATCCCCACTTTCCATATGATCACAACCTACATCTAATAACTATTATTAGTATTTGGCCAGATTTACTTCCTTTTATTAGGTACTGGAGACTGCATCCTGGGCCTTCACACTGAGCTATATCCCCAGCCTGTTTTGTATCTTCTACTTTAAGACAGAACCTCATTAGGGTACCGGTTGCCCAGGCTGGACTCAAACTTGCCATCTTTCTGCCTCAGCCTCCCAGAGCACTGGGATTACAGGCATGAGCCACCACACCTAGCTGCTTCCTTGATCTTTCATGGCTTAAGAACTTTAAAATCTACAGAAATCTGGATGTTTTTCATGCATCAATACTTCACACTGATCTCAAAATTTAAAAGGTACTGTCCTATACATCATAACACCATTATCACTGCTAAAAAAATGAGTAAATCTGTAATAACACTCACCACTCAATTGATATCTACATTTTTCCAACTGTGCTAAGATATTTTAATATTTCTAATTTAAAAATATGTATGTGTGGTATTTCTCTTTCATCCACCCTACAGCACCTCTGGTCTGCTGGGCTAACACCTCGTGTTGCTGTTACGAACGAGGCCCAGTGGAAGGTTTACCTTGATTCTTCTGCTGCTCGCAGGCTTTCAACAGCTCTTTCTCAGTCAGAGGGTCCACGTGAGATGGTGAAATCGGGGAACATGTGCTGCCTTCATACCACAACTTTAAAACAAAATTATCCAGTTAAAGAAAGACTGATAAATACAGTGATCTCTTCCAGTATAAAAGTGGGTTAATCTAGGACCTAAAGATATACTGACAACAAAATGTTACACGCATGCTGAAAACAAATTACCTCCGGAACATCAAAAGGAACTTCTTGATTACCGTCTTTAAGTATTTCTGCTAACAATCTTAATGTCTTCTCACGAGGAATAATATTTTCTTCTTGCATTTTATTCCAGACAGCATCAGCTCTTTGCCAGTCACCATTTTTTCCTACAGAATTTGATTAAACAGAAATTCATGAAGTTAATCAGAATTCCTGAAAACTTAGAACTTTCTCTTATCTCATGTTCAAGGAAGCATTACTCCAAATACTGCCTTCAGGGGGAGAAGTCAAAAAGTGAATGTGGCCCAAAAGCGAGGAAGAGATTCTTCTGTATACTTTTTGGGACCTTCTGAATTAGCATCTTTATAAATTCCTTCCCTGTTAAAAAAGAGTAACAGTAAAAATTCACCCACACTTTAACAGTCTGAAAATCATGTTGATAAAGTTTGTCTTTTAAAAATAAGTAATGAAGAAAATTCCCACTGTCAAGATCAAAATCAGGTAACAATTCACTTATACCCTTTAGTATTTACAAGAAAGAACACACACATATATACTGTCTAGTGTACAGCTGTAAGTCTAAAAGGACTGAAAGAATTCAAATGAATAATTTTTCTCTAAAAGCAACAAATCTACAACTCTTTTCATTTAGTTGAGTAGAGACAACTGTCTGCATCTTATGTTGCCTTGAAGAATCTGTGACAGGGTGAGATAAGATTATATTTTCTTAGATTTCTTATCTGAATAGGAAATGCCATCAGACTAAGTTTTTTGTGCTGGGCGTGGTGGTACACACTTGTAATCCCAGCACCCAGGAGGGAAAAGGCAGGAGGATCGCTCTGAGTCTGAGGCCAGCCTGTGCTACATAGCGAGTTCAAGGCCAGCCTAAACTGACTGCATAGTGAGACCCTGTCTCAAAAAAAAAAAAAAGAAAAAAAGAAAACAAAGTAAGGAAATGAGCTAATTTTTTTTTTACCATGAAGAAACTCAGGTTTTCTATGTGGTGATCCAGTATTCACAGACAGAAAATATTTAAGAAATACGGCTTCAAATGTCTTTTTACAACTTTTGCATATATAAGAAACATTTTGATTTTGCAGTGTCCTGCTCGAAGAAGGGGATATGTTTTAGAACACAAACATTCCAGAAAACATACGTTTGGCCTTCAGCATTTTAGAGAAAAGAAAAAGTAGTAAAACAAATGGGATTTCCTTCCAAAACCACACAAACTAAATTCTGGGTAACAAATGACTCCTAAAAATTAAAAACTTAGAACAAAAAGTGAAACACGTTTTGAGTTCATCAGAATTTAAAAATAAAGAAAAAGGCAGGAAAACAAATAGGAAAATTTCCCTGGGTCATATGTAGATTGTAACTTACACTTTTACATAGAATATACTGAAAGGAGGCTCAAATACTAGTTGAAATTTACCAGAAGTTCAGAATGGTTTCATATATATTTTGATAAAGTCAATCCAATTAATATGAGACCTTGTATTTACAATTCTTAAAAGACTCTTACAAACCAATTATGCTTTTCTTTCACCAAGATATTCTCATGTAGTATAAAACTTCAGGTATTTCAAATATATAGAAGCAGAGTAGTATAAATCTTACTAAGTTAAAAAAAAAAAAAAAAAGCCCAAGACTCTATTCTGTGTACAAAAAAAACTGAAACACTTCTTTCTGGTCACTGCCGAAGGGTACTGTGGATAGTTGGGAAGACAGTCAGGTAATGTCTCCAAAATCAGTAACAGTACTGCTCTGCTCAGGTACCTTTTTTTTTTTGGTCTTTTTGAGACAGGGTCTTGCTATGCAGTTCAGGCTGCCTTGAGCTCACTTTGTAGCCCAGGCTGGTCTCAAACTTGCAATGGTGTGTTGGGATTACAGGCACCTGGCACCACACCCGGGTTGGTACTTTTAAAGAGATTAAATTTTCAGCAAATTAAACTATTTCACACAATGAAGAAAAGATAGGATGATTCACACCTTTAAACTAAAAATTCTGGGGTGATAATTTTTTAAGGCAAAAAAACCTACCTTGGGAAGATAAAGACATTCAAGACATACCTGTTAAAATGGACTAGCAATTTGCAAAAAGGAAGTATTTAAAAATACAGATGGGAATTACTAGAATACAACATGAAATGACTTAGCTGCTTTTTTTAAAAGGGAAAACAGGGGCCAGGGATATAGCTCAGCAGCACAAGTGCCTGCCTGGCAAGCACAAGGTCCTGAGTTTGATTCCCAGTACAAAAAAAAAAAAAAAGAAAAAGAAAAATAATTTCCTAGAAATGTACCTCAATCACGACATACAAAATTTGTGACACTCAAACCAATCAGTTTATCAAGATCTGCAGCTGTGTGCAAAATTTTATAAAAGGCAGAGGAAGGCTATGCTTTTCTTTCAGTCATCTCCTATGACACTGAAATCATTTCCACTGAGACAACGACTATACTTGTTATTCAAGGAATCAACCAGCCACAAACTTGTGCTGACACTCAAGAATGGACACTGCCTCTTTGATCATCCCTTTTAGGATCCCAGTTTTCTCTTTAAAAAACAAGAGGACAGACTGTTCTCAATGACCTTTGAAGCTATAAAACCAAGGACTTTTCATACCAGTAATGACATTTACAATACACGTAACTGTGGGGAATATTTTACGGCTATACATGACCAGGGCATAAGAGTTAGCATTTCATACATGTTCTCTATGGTATGAAACTAAGAATTTTAATTAAGAGACTGATGGTTTTTACATACTACTGATAGGGTGCAGCTACTAACTTTCCCATTTGTCAATCACACATTATGGTATATAGGTACCGTCATTCCCCTCATGCCAGGTCTGGGACAAGAATCATGCATCAGAAGCCTAGACTGGCTTGCTTTTCCTGAAAACAAGGAGCTACCAAAGACGTCTGTTGGATGATACAGGAGCCAAAGGGAAGGGCCAAAGATGGGATAATTTGAACATAAAAAAGAACAACCACTAAACACATCCACACCCCCCCACACACACACTTTCTTTCCCTATACATTTATTTCATATCATTAAGTAAAACAAGATAAATTCATTGAATGAAATGTATTAAAATTGTAGAATACAAAATAATCAAAATAATAGGTGCATTTATAAAAATATATAGACATAAATGTAGAGAAAGGAAATTGGAAGGATGGTAACAGAGAGTGGACAGTAACATTTTCACATTTAGCTAATACAGCAGTATTCTCAGTTCTCTGAAAATGTTTTTGTATCTCAGAGACTGTATTCTCAGTCTCTCTCTTCAGTACTTCTATATTCATTTTACTCATGTCATAACACAGGGAAAAAGATTACACTGTGAAAACAAATGTCAACGGCTGTGCATATTTGAAGTAACAAATAACTCAAGGTAGAATAAATGTGAGGCTATAAAACTTTTAAAAAGTAAATTCAATCAATTTTTAATGCAAAAATACAAATGTAAGACAGGTTCATTTTGAATAGAGCACTTTATGTATACAAAGAACAAGCTAACCCCTACTCTGTGTATGTAGTGCTTGGGACATCAGAAAATAATGTATATTACAGATTCTATGAGCTAATTTTTAGACTGCACCAACTAGCCACAATGAATGAAATTATATGCTGTAGACATGTTCTAATAAAAATAAAAAGCAATTCTCAACTATAGATTAAGTATAACAGAACCACATTTCACACATTTCTAAACATACATGGCATTTCGAATGAACTTTGTTTGTGTAACAATATTTAAGCAGTAATCTCAAGTCAGAGGGCAAAATGGAGAAGAGACTAGAAAAATGGACAGCTTGTTGTTTCCGCAGAAAGGAAAACGAGCAGGGCTATCCCACCCAAGAAGGTGGGAAGTACACAGGCAGCTTAAGAAGGGCGCTTCCCCGGAAGGAGTCTTCCAGCCTCCTAAGTGAGTGTGCAGACCTTGCTGAGCTCCTCGACATTACTGGCTCAGACACAGAGCAAGAAGCAATTAAAGCCCCAAAAAGCAGACAGGGGAATTAAGGAGAAGAAAATGTTTTTGTATCTCAGAGACTGCTTAACCCTAAAGGAAACTTTAGGATGAACGTGAAGTTTTCCCTCTTCTTCGTTTCATTTTTTAAAAACAATGTTAAAAGTTCGTCCAAGTAGGAAAAAGATGCTTGTGTGGCTGGCTACCCTTCAGCCTTTCTTGAACTTCCGCTGTTCCTCCTACAATCTCGTGGGTGTTCCCACACCCTGCTCTCTGCAGAGCACTACCCTTATGTCGGCATTGCCTACTGCAATGGTTAGCACGGTAAGGGCTTCATACATACTTTCCTTCTAAGTGAAAGTTCACAGTCTTCTATGAGGACTACATTAAATGCCTGACTATTTTAATAAAAAATAGAAAAATTTGGTATTGGTTTTAAGTTTGCATAAAATTACACTTTAAGTATGTAAATTCTTCAAATGGAAGAAAAAGTAGGAAGAGTGAACTAGCCTAGCACACAAATCCAGGTTATAATCTACCATTTAATAACTACATGTCTAAAATGTAAGACTTTTAATTCTATATACTCAGTACCAATTTGATCATTCAAGCCGAAGTTTTAAGAATCACACGATGATGTGTGTACTTCAATACAACCAAAAGTTGGAATGAAAATTTTGAGTCAAGTCTTACTTTACATAGATCAGCAAGATGTAAGATAAAGGGTCCAAAAGATAACACAAGTTCAAAAAGACAAATCAATTTACTCACTGCTGGCTATGTTTGGTGATTTAAAGTTTGCCACACAAAAAGGGAATAATAAATCTAGATCAAATATCTATGAAATAAAAAGGAAAATATCATTGACGACTCGAAGTGTTATTCCCCTTTACCCAGATACCCTAAGAGAGACTGTAAACTCCCAAATATGTATACTGGTATGAATATATTGCAGTATTATTTGAAAGGAAAGGTCAAAAGTATTCGAAACCTCAATCATTCTTTACTCTTAATACAAACAGTAAGAATTCAACCACATGGAAACAAGGGTACAAAGATATAGGTAACAAAGATAAAGTGGGGCTGCTCATAATATGGAAAACTGAACGTTTATTCACTCACATGTTTAGCAACAGGAGACTGGCTGAGTAAAAGCAAGTATACTGTACCCACTCAAAATATTAACCCTTCTTACGTGATTATATAGAGCAATGTTTGTGTACATAGCTGGATAAATATGGTCATATTAAAGAAACTGTTTAGCAATGACTGGGTACCTAGACAGGCATCTTTCTGAAAAGATATATGCACATAAATGTACTGATAGCTATCTATTTATAGAAGTAATAAATCTATGTTAGAATAAAAAAAAAAGTCTCTCTTCAAAAAGTCCTATTAAATTCTGTGGCTCTGAAAGTGATTTTCTTTTCTGTTTTAAAGGTCTTAGGGGCTTTTATTTACCATTAAGCAATCAAGGAATACCTCACTGTATAAAATGGAATTACTGTTCTGATGAGCTGAGCAGGGGAGGCAGAAAAGGCCTGACAAAACCAGAACAGAAAGGAGACTGTTTTTTTTCAAGGGTATTTCCTTTATAAAGCTTCAAGCAGAAGTCACATCCCTATCATACCAGCTAAGCCTGGCCTGCTTGGAAACGTTAGACAGAAGTAGAACCAGTTAATAAAGAGGCTGGACTCACTTCCATTTCCTTCAAACGGAAGAAAAACCAGGTACCACTTAGCCCTAAGCAAATTTCTATGTGGTATCTTGGCTACATCATATATTTTTTGGTTCCTTTTTGACAGTTAGGACACTCTCATTTTCAAGTACGAAAAAACATCAAAAACATGCCTTCACCCTTTGCTTACCTAATCTCCAATCTACCCAGGTGGGGGAGGGACATGTGCCACCCGCAGTTCTCTGCTCCAGGTGCCAAGGTGGAGAAGCAATGAGCATGAAGACTTCCTTACCGTTCCATTACTATGGTAGCAATACCCGAAAGTAGAAAATTACAATGCCTAGTGGTAAAATTTAACACTCTGTGACAAAGGTCATGTGACAATCCCTGGAGCACCCTGAAAAACCGATACTCCTTTCCTACCTCTGCCTTCAGCAGACTAAACGAAAACCTGAGGAAGAGCCACATCACTTACTGTACAGCTTTAGCAGACTGTAGTACAGGTAGTCTCTATCACATTCAAACAGCTTTTGCGTCAACTCCACTAATTTTTCCAGAGTTTCAATCTTAAAAATAAACAGATTTATACTACATGAAAGACTTAAAGTTAACAAATAACAATTAAATAATCTTTCAAATAGCTTTACCCAGGATAACTAAAAACAGTTAAAGTGCTGAGTGCAACATGAATGTACTTACTGCCACTGAGCTGTAATGGTTAAAATGACCAATTTTATCCTTTGTATATTTTACCACAATTAACAAAACAATTTTGTTTTTTAAAAATAAAGCAATAAAGGACCCTTAGAGTCAAGAACACAACGTAACTACCTGGTTTTAGGATTCGCCATAAAGGTACATGTTAAAAATTTAAAGATGTCTGGGACAGAAAACAATAGCATACATCTTTTCACTAATAATTAATACTCCCCCACCCAAACATTCAACTCCTTTCCCTGTGGCTTTAGTTGGCCTGACGTGAACAGGCCCGGAGGACAGGGAGAGTGAAAGTTCCACGGGGCTCTATGAGTACCTCCCGCAGTCATTTCAGACCGAGGCAGGTTTAATTGCCAGGCAAGCGGTCACCTGCACAACTCAGGGTAAACCAAGATTAAATCTTCACAGCCCAGGGTAACGTTCTTAGGGTTTCTACTGCAGCACAGACACAAGACGTCAACTATCACTTACTGGCAGAGCAACCAGGATAACACTGCTTCCACAGTGCTCCATCTCCTGACATCCCCAAGTGGTCTTATGACATATATGACATTTGCTTTCTACTAATAGTTTTAAGTGTTTGAGATATCAGAAATTAACACAAACCTGATTATTAGTGATACATTTATCACAAAACCACTGAAGTCTTGTAGGTCGAGCTCTAATGCCTGGAGTCTGAAAAATAAAATAATCCACACAATATACATAGTAAGGCTTATTATTTAAATATTAATTTTTCCTCAAAGACAGGATTTTTCTTCTAATGAATATGCTGTTGAACAAATATAAAAGAAACCTACAATTTAATCCCGCTGTTAGCAAAGAACTTTAATAAGGATTAGAAGAGAACATCAAATGTAACCCACATGTAACCTGTTTCTAGAAGACTGAGGTTATTTCAAGATGCTGCTTTGCAGGTTAGTATTCATTTCATAAATTTGTAATAAATGTTTTAGTTCAAAAAGTGAAGAAATAAATCTACTTGAAAATATGGCAAATTAAGCACACGTGTGCATGCTTGAGCTTGCTCATGCGTGCCTCTCCCTATATACACATGCCCGTGCGCGCGCGCACACACACACATTCTTTCAGAGGTTCCAACAGAATTAGATGAAAATTATTAGTGTTACATGGAATTATTAATTGTCAAAATATAACTAATAGTTTTCCTTTTTAAAAGCAACATGTTTTGGAGAATACACTATGATAAAATTATTCTACCAGAAATGCTGCCTACCATCTAGAACTAGATGTTTAGAAAGTACCAGCTAAATACTTAAGTTTTTCACAATGTTAATTAATTTACTTTAATAATTACAACATATGTTATACCCTCAATGAGAAGTTACCTAAGGGTCAGTCAACTGGCTTATTTCACAAAGTTGAAGACTGGAATAACAGACAAGCCATTTCAACATAATTCCAAGGATTTGTCCCTCCAACAACAAAATTTTCATCATCTCTAAGAGTTTCACCACTAAATGCCACATTTTAATCACAGCATTATGATAAGACCACTGCATACTCAAGCACTGGCTGCTCTTGTACACAGTAATTACTTTTCCTGCTTTCTCCACTCAGCTCTGTTGATGAAAATAGGTAACCCGAGTCTGATCTCTTACATTATAAGTCCCATTATCATCATCATCATCACTATCATCATTATCACTGAGGCAAGATCTCACAACACTAGCCAGATGAAAGTGTGAGGTCCTGACTTCGATTGCCAGTACAAAACAAAACGAAACTACTGGCCAGGCTAGCCTTGAACTCCTGGGTTCAGGAAATCCTCCCACCTTAGCCTCCCAAATGCGGAGGCTAACGAGGTGCACGCCACCATGTCTGGTATCTTCATTATTTTTAACTTTAAAAAATAACATTGTATAACGTAAAACTAGAACTGAAGCAGAAACGAACATCATGCAGCTGTGACAGAAAAACTGGTACAGTATAAACTGTATTAATGTTCTCATTTTAACCATGCAAGTATCCACACTTTGGGACACAATAAACAAACATTGACTAACCATTGAAATATATTCGCAAGTACCATTAATAGCTACACTCAGGCATTGTTTCTACTGAAGTATTTCCTCACATCTGTTTTATTTCACATGGATTACAAAGAAAATGAGACCAACATCAATACATACAAAATGTCCATGAAAACTAGTAAATAATCCTTTTTAAACATGGCAAAATTTAAGAGCTACATTCACTTACTACTTTCAATATTACTGCTAATCCAAATGCCAAAGATCTAAACAGCATAACTTTCAGGGCAAACTCTCTTGTTTGTGTCTGATTAATCTGCCTGTCACTGGCAGAGCAGCTGACTTAAGACAGCATATCTTCCCATGTTTCATTTTGAAATTGAGAACTGTTTTCACATATAAATCTCAATCATCAAAAGAACATCTAGGTCAGATTAACTAAATCTCCTAGGCTGCTGTAATAGTCAACATTACTGGCTTATCTCTTAACATCTTACTGAATTTTAAACATTGCAATTTGAAAGCAGAAACAGAAAATGTAATAAACAGGGAGGACAGAATTCTAATTGAGATGGTAAATATATCAAAAAAACAGTTAATTAAAACAATCAGCTCACCTCTAGTTCTTTGTTTTTGGCTACATAAAATTTATTTAATGGACAGTCAGGATAAATAAGTATCATGATAGGAAAATTAGTATGTTTGTTTCTATCTGAGCTGTGCTTCCTTCACACCACAACTTTCTGCAGTAACTTTTCAGCACCAGCTTCTCACTTGTACTGAGAAAAGAGTAAACCAAAATAAAAAATCATCACCACTTCTCTAATTTTATTATATTATCCTGATACTGTAAATCTGCTGGCTTCATAATTAGCTTCTATGTATATAAGTAAAAGCAAGATGTTGAATTATTACCTTTAAAGTAAGAAAGAAATATTTCTCCACTGTATTTCAAACCCTATCTCAAGGAAAATCACTTTAAATTTGATTCAAATAAAAACTTTCACCTGGTTTGATTTTTGTTAGTATTGATGTAATGGAAATGGAAAACAAAATAGAATCAAGAAACTCCCAGCCTAACAGGCCTTCTTGTTAGTATAGCCGAGGGAAAATCATGTACACAGGATTTCCAGGAGTGGGCAAATGCTCGTGAACCCAACTCAACTGTTTATCCCCATAGCTAGGACAGAGCAGGGGAGGGGAAATGGTATCATGGCACACACATATATCTTTCCCTCTAAACTCCTTAGAGGCAGACTTCAAGATCACAACTAACGAGGAAAATATGGCTAAGCAAGTCAGCAACCACCACAAACTAAATATGATCCACTTCACTGGGTACTGAAGAAAACATTAAACTAACACATGGGCAAAAGGGTATGAACTTACATGAGCACGGACAGTGTGAAATTTTGGAAGGTAAGAGGACCAAGTGCTAGCTCTAGAATCTACTCTGTATACGAGAATATCGAGGATCCATCCTATCTCTACTAAGAAAGGCAAACTGGAATTAAAAAGCCTGAATTTGGTCTAGTAAAGAACAAAGCTTGGGAGATCACTAGAATCCACACTTCTGGTCTTAAACCAAAGGCAGTTGCCCCCACACTAAGAAGACAGCAAATGTACTGTGGCTGCAGGGAAAGGAAAAACACAGATAAGAAGAGAGGAAAAATAAAACAGGAGAAAGGAAAAAATTAAGAAAATTCAACTTCAGAGAAAAGTTCTTTTTGTTTGTTTTTATTTTTGAGACAGGTCTCACTACGTAGTGCAGGCTGGCCTTGAACTCACTATGTAGCCCAGGCTGGCCTCGAACTTGTAGCAATCCTCCCACCTCAGCCTCCTAAATGCTGGGATCATAGGCGTGCGCCACCACACCTGGCTGCAGAAGATGCCCAACAGTTTAGATACTGACGCGGGTCAGGAGGTCGTGGTGGTAGGGACAGTACAACAAAATCAACAGAAAATGGGAAGCAGGACCGATTCAAACTCCACAGGTGCTAGTAACTACTAAACTTCATAACCCACATTCTGAACCTAGACGCCTTTGACTTAAATCACCTAAGTTGTTTTGTGAAGCTCATATCATGATGCACACGAAAACCATGAGAAGTGTAAGAGAATTACCCTTATTAGTTATACGGCTTAGCTGGTAATCTAGGTTTATGCTCCCAGGAAAGAGAAATGCTAACTGATAAACGCAAGTTAAATGTAAAGAATCTTGCTCATTTTTGTGACTGCAAAGGAGAACCATGCAGTGTCTGCCACAGGGGAGGCACATGTACGTGTGTATGTATCTGTTTCAAGGGCTGAGGACAAAGTTAAAAGATGTTTCTTTACAGAAACCTTTGATAGCGTTGTTTCACTTTTCATACTACTTCACTTTTATACATGTATATATTTATTTATTTATTTATTTTTGGTTTTTTATTTTCCGGTACCAGGAATCAAACTCACAACCATGCGCTTGCCAGGCAGGCACTGTGCCACTGAGCTACATCCCCAGCCCCTATACATGTATATATCATCTTTCCCTAAATTTAATGTGCAGTCCTAAAACACACAAATTATCCAAAAAAGAGTATTTACTTATTCATCTGGCACTGCTGGGGACAGACTGAATCCAAGAAGTAGTGAGCTACTTTTTCAGGAAAAAAAAGTATTTGTTTATTTTTGATTTATTTTGAGACAGGGTCTCCTTAAATTGTCCAGGCTAGCCTCACATTTGAGATCCTCCTGCTGGGATTACAGGTGAGCACAATGATAACTGCCTACATTACCAACATGTTGTTCCTAGAAAGTGACTAAAGTACATTAAAATATTATTAACTAAAGGAGTGAAGTCATTTGAGTTTTTGTACAGAGAAATATCACCTTACTTTACAATAATTTCTAATGGACTGAAACTTAGAAGCCCGGGTGTTAGTTCAATCTTTGCTACCATGAACCACAAAGGAATTCTCATCTATAAAAACACTAACACTTCTATCTATCAGGGGCCTTAAAAATGGTAATAGTTGTTAACTCACTCCTGAGAAATGATCCTAATAATGTGAAAATCAAATATGCCTATAGGTAAAATGGGAATTATGATTAGGCTAAAAACAGTTAAAAATTTCTCAAAGGAAGAAGGGATGAATGTTATTTCATTCATAAACGAATGATGTGGCATTAAAAATAACATTTAGAGTGGCTCTTAATTACATGCATAAAAATGAAGAAGTAGCATTAAAGGGCGAAGAAAGTACTAAGTAAGATACACGGCTCATTTTACTTCAATTATATATAAATGAGGAACCCATTAAATAGATACAAAAATCACAAAGACATCTAGATGAATAATAGTATTAACAATGAATTTTAATATTTTATATAGTGTAAATAGTAAGATTTACAAATTTTACTTCACTTTCTATAGACAGGTGAAAAACCAGACTGGTCATTATTGGCAAAACACAGAATCTATTTCAAAACATATCTATCTGACATAATCAGTGTAAGTTTATAAAAATAGTTTGTGAACATCTCCTCAATGGTACAATGCACTCCACGCCCTAAGAATGGAAGGAGCTAGAGATAATTAGTCTATAGAAGATGAGTACGAAGGTTGACATATAGAAGGAAAGGAATCAAACGTTTACTAAACATTTCATGTATCAGACACTCTAGACGTCCTCTTATTAGTGTTGTCTAATAAAAGTCCTCTGAGGCAGAACAAGGATAAAGGACAGGAGTACGTTCCTGCCCCGGGGCCCTTGCAAAGGCAGTTTCTTCTTACAGTGTGTTTGTCTCCACTCTATGCACCTGGCTCACAATTCATCTTTTAGTTCTCACGAACATCACTACCTCTGCAAGACCTAGTCTGAAACAGGTCTTTTCCACATTTTCTCTTAAAGTAATAACTGTTTTCTTTCTTTCTTTTTTAAGGTGCTAAGGATTAACCCAAGAGGTTACACTTTAGGCAAGCACTCTACCAACTGAGCTAAACCCCAGCCTACAAATATCTCATTGTATAGATTTATTTAAAGTCTCTAAGACACAATCAGTAACGTTGGTAAAGGAGGGTGAGATAAAAAAGCAAAGAAGAAAGGGGAGCATGAAAGAAGAGCAAAGAAATGAAAGAAGGGAGAAACTGGTCAGCCTGTGAAGCTACTCAAATGCTATCAGGCACCTTCACTCAAGTTTCAGATGAAATCTGCCAATGCCTCAGCTAAGCCTTCATGAAAAAATGTTGTATTAGATTTAAATCAGGGAGCCGGACATGGTAGGGCACACTTGTAATCCCAGAACTCGGGAGGCTCACTGCAAGTTCAAGACCAGCCTGGGCCACAAAGTGAGCTCAAGGTCCCCCTGAACCTCATAGTGAGACCCTGTCTAAAAAAGACAAGAAAGATCTAAATCATGGTTTAGTTTAATTTACACCTGTGTCAATTTACTCTTTTTGGGGGGTCTTTTTTCGAGACAGGTCTCGCTACACAGTGCAGGCTGGCCTTGAACTCTCATCGATCCTCCTGTCTCAGCCTCCCCAAGTGTTGGGATTACAGGTGTGCGCCACCACACCCGGCTAATTTACTTGATCTGTGGTGAAAAAAGTCACTCCTTCCAATTATTACACACCACTTGAGACAACTGAGGAAAGTATCTTTTAAGTTTCTATGACCATTATTCTAATTCATATCCTTATAGTTTCACTGCCATAGATTCCCTTTATCCAATATCCTTTTGTTAGTATAAATTTGTTTTTAACATTTCTCAGCATCTGTTGTCTTCTGAATTAACTCCAATTTCCTTCCTAAGGCCAAGGTTCTCTAAAATCTGAAAACAAAAACAAAAATCTGAAAACAGTCTACCCTTCAAAACTATTTCTCATGAATCTTATTCCCAGAATGAATGAACTATGTATCTCCTTAGCTAAGTTGCCCATGCTAGGTTTGAACTCGCAATCCTCCTGCTTCAGCCTCTCAAAGTCCTGTGATTACAAGTATAGCCCTTTTTTCTCTACTTCTTTTATCTACCTCTAAAACACTACCCTACCCCATCAGAACTGTGTATCACACCCAATCCTCCATATAATATAGCCTTCCCTGATTCCCTATGCTGAGAATAATTTCCATCCTCTTCAATTCTCAGACCTATTTGTATCTTTCTTAGCTCAGATTATACTTTTCAGCATTAGCAGTCATCTCTACATATCTTCCAGTAGTTTCACACTGATATGACAGTTGATATGATTTAGCCTGACTTACTTTGTTCTCATTCCTTCCTTTGGAAGGAAATGATACTCTTCCCAAGCATAAGAGTATACACGCTCATTAAAGAAAACTAAGCAACTATAGAAGGTATTTTTAAAAATCAGCTATAATTCAATTTTCCTGTCATAATCTGTTTAGAAATAAAATACAAGTCTTTTATGTTTAGTGCTATATATATATACCAACTCATCTAAAAAACAAAACAGCCATATTTATACAATGAATTTTGCACGCTTTTCTCTTCACTTGATGTGTGCGTTTTTATGAGCGGTTTATCCATCTCCCATAGCGCTTCAAGCACAAAGCAGCTTTGGATTCAACTGTAGTGACTCCTCCAACAGGCAACACCCTACTGCTTTCTTGGAGAATGATACAAATGTTGCTCAGCACTTACAGGATTCTTTCATATACTCCTACAGTCCAAGTTCATTAATTTGTATTGCTTTTTATATTTTCTACAATCTCTAGAAAACTTAAGGTCTTGAATTTTAATGACAAAGAAAATCAAGTTCCCTATAATTCACCCCTTTTTAACCACAGAATAGCCCTATAAATGTCCTCTAGTACATTCTCATATATTAGATACCTTGCAGTCCTATCATTGGGTACTGCCCAGCTATTTTTTATCCATTAACAATTTTGTACACATCCACTCTAAAAATTCTGTTATAGCAGTTATTCCTAAATGATGCATATGGGCATCTTCTCTTGCCTATTTGTGTGACAAGCATGTACCTTATGCTAAACATCATACAAAAATTATGTGGATTAAAGACGACAACACAGCAGAGCACAGTGGCGCACACCTGTAATCCCAGCACTCAGGAGGCTGAGGCAGGAATATCACCGTGAGTTTAAGGCCAGCCTGGGCTATACGAGCATGTTCAAGGTCAGCCTATACTACACAGCAAGACCCTGTCTCAAAAAAAAGAGAACGACAACACAATCCCCACCTTTAAAAGGTAATGAGAACTCGTACCACTGATCACTGAACCACAACTCAGGAAACATGCAAGCTGCTTTACATACAGTACACGATAGAATCTTTCTTAGAAACAAGTATTATATTCACTTTTATAGATGAGGAAGCTGGGGAAGGGTTAGTAACCTATCCATTATCACATACGCAAGGCGACGGCATCGCTTCTCAGCCTTTTGGCTAAGATCAAATGAAGCGAGCAGATGGCAAAAAGAGAACTTGTTCTTATGCCTTTGGCTTTTTCTATTACACCTTGCTTATTAGCAGAGAGAGGAATACATTTTCCTCCTACAGAAGCTCTTACTGCTAACATGTGAAAGCCCAGCATTCCTTTCTACTCTCATCAGTGACCTGCCAATACTGCTACAAGCACACAGCAGCAAACTCAACAGGCAGACAGTTCCTCTCATTTTCAGACTCACTCCATACTCTCAATGGAAGAATTTATACTATTTTTTAGAAAATGCAGATTGGACCATTTGAGCTACAGAAGCACCTAAGACAATGACAGGGGCTAGACTGAGTTAAAAGACACAGAGAAAGAGAAGAAAAGCTGTGAATTAATCTGATAGTCTTCCTTTCCCATACTAGCCTTTTTTCTTCTTTGAAAAACATCAGGAGAAACACTAATACTTTTCTAGGTTATGTGCCTGTGCTTTTGGTTTTACAATAAGGTGGCTTCTATATACAAATAAGGAGTCCACACGCCACTCTTGTGTCTTACCTACCATGGACATTTTTGGAAAAGGACACAGTTAAAAGCATAATCTAAGAGAAATGTAATTGCTTATATATTTATAAATGTTTTAATAACGTAAACCAATTTCTCATAAAGTAATGTGTACATCTGCTGTGGAATGTTTTATTTTCTTAGTAGACAAAGAAGTATTTAATAGTAAAATTAATCACAATTTGGACAGACTTTATAGTTGCCCTTTGCCTTATCAATTCCAGTAAGGAAAATTTCAGCAAAGCCTAGATAAAATATACTAATCCTAAATAGGCCAGGTTTGTCACCTACCATTTCCCATAAGCTGCTTACCATAGTGAAAAAAATAAATAAAAAAGAAAATTTAAATTACATGCCAAACAGTTGCAGACAGCACTTGTTTGGCTGATTAACTTATAGACAAGCATTACAAATAAATCTGAGCATGGTCTGCAGCAAATTAAATTCTACTGCTTTTAAGAACAAAGAATTCTTTGGCAAAGAGGATTAGCAACTTTACACCCAGGAATGCCAGTTTAATTTAATTGTTCCACAATCCAAGATTTAATATGCAAATATCATTTTGATATATAATAGTGAATTTAACAAAGTGAGGAAACAAATTCAATATACAACCAGACTGCCTTTTCTGAACTGTAATTATATACAATAAAGAAGCTGGCCGGGTCCTCCTCACCCCCCCCCCCCCCCCCCCCCCCCCCGTTACTGGGATTGAATTCTATTAACATGAATCAGAACAAGTGTTAATTAAAGGTTAAAAATTTTAAATGTATTCTAATTAAGAGTCTAAATAGCTGTACAATTAGAATGCTGTACTTAAAAAATCACACCTCAATGATCTTCTTGGCCTCTTTGTAATTTCCTGTTTGTAGGAAGGCAAAGAAGATATCATAGAGCATCGTCATTTCACCTTGTTCTTGGCTTACAAAATCCATTGCTAGGCAAGAGAGGAAAGAAAAAAAATATATATATATATATAAATATATTAGAAGAAAAAAATAGAAACACAATATGATATGAAGTTCTGAATAAGTAAAAAAAGAAAACTTTACCTTAAAGTCAAATATTAAGAATAACTTAAAAGATTACAGCTTTATCAAATGACTTTTGTCTTATTATCTAGTAATATACATATATGACATTAACTACCCAAGATTAGCTTCAAAGAGAACCAGTGAAGATGTTAAAATCTTCACAAAAGCAGAGCACTAAGGAGAGCACAAAAATAATAGGAGAGTAATTTTTCCCAAGGAACAGTTATTAAATGTCAAGGTCATGTACAGTACTCAAAATCTACCTGATATCTTTCTATTCAATTCATAAGTGTAACAGAGTTTCTCTAGATATGCACACATTCTGTTAAACTTTCTCTTTACAACAATATAATCAAATTAAATAAGCAATAAGGAAAAAATCTACATTAAAATACTTGAAGGTAACGAACCTTTCTGGATTAGAGCAGTCTCGCCTTTCTCTATCAGTTTACATAAGATATCATGCAACCTTGGTAATATTTTATACTTTTTATAGCAATCAATGGTGGTTTCAAGGGCAGCAGACAGGTCACCCCTATGAAAAATAAAATAATTAACAATTATAAAATATATCTAAATTCAGTTTAGGCTTTCAGCAGCAGTTTAGAGACATGTACAATGTCAAACTAAAATGTAAACACTAGTGTTTTACTTAAAGTAGGAAACCATAAGCCAAAATGAAAAAAAGAAAAACAACTTTATATATGCTCAAAATATATACAACCAAGCAGTTCACTGTTTTCCTGGATTCACCTTTGATTATTTTGCTTGATAAGTGGTATTTAGGGTTAAAAAGAAAAGTCACAGCAGATAAAGGCATTCTCTGATTTTTATTATAGTCTAACTTTATGTAATCAATTGCTTTAAGTATGTATTATTTCAAAAACAAGTCCTACCATGAAATATTTTTTCTAATTACTGATGTATTTTCACAGCCCTCAAGAACTTCAGATTTGGGAAACTTTACTGTATGTCAATAAACAGCTATCAAGGAATTTTTAAGGACTTACCACATTTGCATCATATTTTTCAAACTTCCCCCTTTCTAGGTAAAAACTGCAGGGTTCATGGACACGGGAACTGACTACTACTAAAACTAAGATATTCTTGTAGGTCAGAGAATTTCATTCAAAACATTTTCAACACACGGTAAGGTTTTTAAAAATTATTTTCAGTTGTAAAGTCAAAGCCTTTTTTATCTGGTAATAAAATAAAAAGTCATTTTCATTATGCTGAAGTTTCTTTAGCAAGAGCATGGAAACATTTTTCTGGGTCCTCAAAAAGTACGTTTTGTTTTTTTTCCCCCCTTTAAAAGGAACATAATGACATAGGAACTATATAAGGCCTTGCAACAATTATAGAGATTAGGTGATCCCATTTTTCTGCCTCCACCTTTCATTTTTAAAGAGGTAAGGAAATTGCGGTATGTGAAGACTGACTGACCAGCCTACATCTACCAAGTAAACGGGCAGGCACTGGCAGCAGAGCCCAGACCCCCACTCTTCATGCAGGGCATCCGTTACACACTATGCTCTATGAAGAGCACGTGTCTACACGGCCCCATAAGATGGTACAATCTGGTATAAGAAATTAATGAAATGTACTTAAGAAGAGACATGCTTAGAGACACAGACAAAAGTAAAACCCGTGACAATTAGCGGCAAGCCATCTTGGTAGAGAATAGAAATTTCTCTTACAAAGGCAACAGTTTTCAAAAGAAAGCCTTTTAAAATTTCCTGTTAAAGCCGTAACATTTCTGCCCATTATATAAATGTTATGTTGCTCAGATTAGATTGCTACTTTATCCATATTCAGATTTTAAGCTGTACTACAAAAGTAAAATACAACGAAGAAGTGTTATTTTCATTGCAGTAATACTGACATGATGAAAACGAGCCTATCCTAATGGAACTCTACCGTATCCTCTTATGAAGCCCTGTTTACAGTGCATCTTCCGGCACCCCACAGAGTCATTTGAATTTTTGTCATTTGGGGTGAAGACTAAATTACAGGTTAATTTCAAAAGCACAAGTAGATGTTGCAGGCTAGATTACTGTCATACAAAAGAAATGCTATAGTAGTTACCACATATGATATAAAGCTTTATATAATCAGTATTTTCTCTTACTTCAGACAGAGGATCAGTTATTGCCCTTCTACAGTTCCACTTAATGGAAAACTACTAAGCCATTCTTAAGAGTAAAATCAACAAATATGGATTTTTTTTGAATTGGCAAGATTTGATTTTTCAGATCAATTCCCAAACTAGAATAATGTTGTCTCAATTGTATTTTCCCTACATTCGGTCAAAGCTATCAATAAATGAATGAATAATTGTTGTCAATCAAAGCGACATGTTAGTATCTTTGGTCTGCAAATATATGCTTCTGAAGATTATACGTACTCCAAACAACGGAAAAGACAAGAGAAGTAAAATGAAAATACTTCATATATTTGTTCGTTATTTTAAGTATCAGTGCTATTGCTCTTAGAGTTGCCAACAAAATGAATTACAATCTACGGTGAAATACTTCTTATAAAATGTAATGACGGAGAAATGAAGTAAATGACTGTATGATCTGCATTCTGACTTGTGAGCAGATCATGTCACTTTAAAAAGACAAAAATTTACATTTCTCACGTTTATATAATCAGTAATTTTTCCTATCAAAGCTTGAAAATTTAAGTTATGTAGATAAAAAACATGAAAAACCACATCTAAAATCACATCGTTGTGAAGATAGTTTATGCTCAAAGCACTCTGGATTTTGATCTCAACTGATGAACATGCAGCTCACACGGTTAGAAGTGGGGGTGAAAAGTGGATTATCAGAAAAACTGAACTCAAGGACCTCTGGGTTCCCGCCTAGTTCTAATACTGAGGAGCCGTTAATCTGTGCTGATTAGATTCATCTATTCACATGTTTCACGCCAGCAGATAAAGTCATCATGTGAAAACACCACTTTAATGGGCAGGATGAACAACAAAACATTGAAAAGAAAAAGGTAGAAATTGATTCCCAATCAAAATGTAGGACAACACACTACCAGTGTACTTCTAGCTTCTGTGACCTAAAGTTATCTATGATTCCTTTTGTACATTTTGTAAAACAGAAACGATTTAAAACTCTACTCAAAAGTAACGACCCTTTGAAAAACTATTGATTCTGCATTCAAAACTTTAATTCTGTGCTTATTTCAATATACGTGCATAATTCCTAAGGCTTTATATACCATTGTAAAAAGTCCATTCCTGAAAAAAATGTAGTCACTGCTTTCACAAACGTCAAATAACATAAAAGCAAAACCATTCCTTTTTTCCTTTGGCTGTTTTATTTTGGTCTCACTCTGTTGTGCTTGTGGGCCTTAACTCTCTATGTAACCCAGGTTGGCCCTGGAGAAACTTTGCAGTATCATCCTGCCTCAGCCTTCCTAGTGTCAGCATTACAATCATTTACCACCACGCCCAGCAAGAAAACCAACTCTTAACAAACAATTCTAAAATATTCACTATGATATCTATAAAGACTAGAACTCTCCAAATTTCAATATACTACATGAATATACACTTATGAATTAACTATATGTTAATAAAAGTCATTTAAAAATATTTTAATTGCTGCCAGTTAACAATTGAAGTTTTACCGAAAGCATTTTTAAAAGTACAACTGAAGCTTTGCCAAATTCTGTAAGCCTATGAAAGGCAAAACTGGGGAAGACGATTTTGTAATACGAATTTTAACACACACACATTCTCTCTCTCTCTCTCTCTCACACACAGTTGAGTGGGTCCAGTATGCAGTTTAAAAACTGAAGAGAGTTATATTTATTAACTTGAATGGACTCACTTGGATTTGAATTCACACATTCAAAACTTATTCTAGAAACTATAATTTATTTTAAGGAAATTTGGCTAGATAAACAAGTACTATAATTTTTTCAATACATAGGAGAACATCCAAAAGGCTACTTTGAAGCTCATGTAGAAAATCTGATGCTGTCTCTTCTTTTAGTTTTTAATATAAATTAAAGTACAGTATGGTAACAATGACAGAAAGACAAACGCTAAACAAGATGTAAGCTTGTCAGACATTCACTCATGAAACATCTACTTATCACAGAAATATTTTTTTTTAAGGAATCAGGAAACAAAGTACTCCTAACTCAAAAATTGTACAATACATACAACATAAAAATCATGTATGTGCTCCACACAATCTTGAATTATTAAAACTTCCTTAGGAAGTAACTTTTTAATCCAGAGCATATACTTAATTTAAACAACAAAAAAAGATGACAAATATTGATTTTTAATTGGAATAAAGTGCTTCAACATTATGCATAAAGTGTTAGTGAAGTGGCAATTTACCTGAAGGGCTTACTGATTGAAAAGCTCTCAAATCTGAAATCACCAGAGAAAAGTGGAGCTGGGGCGTTGGGGGAGGCAGAGAGTGTTAAAAAAGAAAAAACAAACTCAACAGCATAAAAACAAACTACTCCATAAATCTTCGGCAGATGTTTAGTACTGGGGAGAAACTAACTCAGGAGAACCCATCACCTTCGCAAAAATTATTCCGTTAAGAGAACCGGCACTGAAAAAGCTAAATGTTTTTTCTGTTCAACATCTATAAATGAAGAATCTTCAAGGAGACTGGTGTTGCAATTACAACTAATCCTCCCCAAAAAATTAACTGTGTTGAAGGCTTTGTAATTTCCCTAGGTACAATTTAGCTGTCACTTACTTTAAAATTTACTCAAACATGCGTTCGGAACAGCACTAACTTCACATGTCAAGTGCTTTCCAGCCAATTGAGTCTAAACTGGAAGTCGGTGTTAAACAACTGAATGATTAGACAAGATAGCTCATTTCCCTGCTCTTTTGTTCAGAATAAAATGCCACATTTACATTATCAGGCTCAACAGGATTTTCTGACAGAGGGAGAAAAAATCCTAGTGCACACTGTCCGTACTAAGCACATGAAGCCTGTCATTTACCAATCATCCTTCAAAAAGCAATAGCCATGAATGTAACTTAATTACGACCCAATGATCCTTGACGAAAAATCATCTTATCACTGTCCTGTCCCCCTAGGGCAAATGAAACACTTTTGTCCTGTGGCACTGATGATGCTAAATTCTTAATTGCAATAATGGAGTAAAAGAGCCGAACCTCCTTAATTTCCTTTCAGCACATAAAGAGTTCTATTCTAGAAGGCAGGCATTCCCATAAATAATAAAAGTATCCAGTACAAATGAAGATGCTAAAATTGAAGGGGAGCATGTATGACAGAATGAAAAGCATTTCTAAAAGTGTATTTCCCATTTATTTCAAGTATAAAAGCATTACAATGAGCTTCAAAACTTACACTGTTAGAAGTTCATCTTAGAGAAACTGTGACATCTGTGAAGAACTCAAAATTAATTTAGCAAGAGTTCTGGAAGGATTATATATACAAAGTCCATGATGCACATAAATGAAATACATATGTGCGCATACAGATTATAGTACAAATCAGAACATACACAAAAAATCCTTAATGGAAAGCAGAAATTAAAGCTGCTTTGATCATTTGCAGTAATATAATCCAGTTAAACAGCTTCAGATAATTTTCACATGCAATGAAACCAAAATAGATCAGCTATAAAACAAGTGAATCTGAAACTGCATCATACAAATTTTTATGCTTTCAAATCTAATGGCTCAGACTGTACTGATTTCATTTCCTTTACCATAATATGAAGATTAATCAAAAAGCTCTTTTAACCTATCTTAAAGCATTTCTTTCTACCTTAGTACGGAGGACTGCTATCATCCTTGAATCACGTATGACTTTAATAAAAGAAATATATTTTAAAATAAATAGAAAAAAACTGCTTAAAATTTGGACTATAGGTAGACAGATGGTTTAGAGATTTTAATACAAAAGAAATGTACAAAAATTTACACATATTTCTTTTCTGTTCAATTCAGACACATCATTTTAATAATATATAAGAAGGTTAGATTATGAACTTTTTTATAATGTAAAACTGTTACTGTTTTGGAGTTCCCTTGGCAAATGAATAAAACCAACATATATTATTTCTAAATCCAAAACACATTTTCACATTAAGTAACACAAACTGAAATTATTGTTTTCCGTGTGTTTTATTCAATGCTAGAAAATATGGTACAAAATTAAGATCCAAGGGATCTTAAAGATCATCTTTTGGAATTCAGTCCCATAGACTGGCTTTAGAACTGTAACATGAAAGTGACATCCTCTTTAAAGTCTTTTGCAGTGCCATGCTCGAAAGATGTCTGTTTTTGAATGAAAGATTGAAGATTTTTAAAACTGATGCTCTGAAATGTTTTTCATAATTTTATCACAAGTTTGAATAAATAAGGTTCACTCCCAGATAAATTCATACCTGCTGGGATCAACTGCATATCAGTGAAGAGTGAACATGTTTAATGAAAATCAAATACATGTGGACTTTTTGGCAGGCTAATCCTAGTACCTGTCATGATTCTGAATTAATTAGCTACTGACAAAGCCATTACATAAAAGTTCTAAAGTCAGTGTTTTATTCCAGCAGTTCCTCTGATAAAAGTGGTACTACTACTTTCTGCAATTTTATAAATGTGAAATTTTCTTTGTCTCCATTTTATAATTCTTATAATGTAAAACAGTAGACACAATCTTTATTCTGATAGATGATACAGGAAGACCCAGTCATGGAGACTGCCTCTGCAAAGTAAAAACAGCGCAAAAGTAAGAAAGAAAAACAAAACCTCTCCAAACAAAAACAGAAGGTAAGAACTTCTATATCTGAAAGTAGTAAGATATTGTAAAGGAAAAGAAACTAAGATTTCTTTAGCCCAATTAACAAAGACAGTCGAATTTGTCAGGGACAAAGTATCTGACTGTCTTAAGCAGTGAGAAGCACCAAGCACGCTCCAGGTTAGCATCTGAACTCCATGCCGTTTCCACTCTGCTCTGGCTAAGCTCTCCTTGGTTCATGAGCCCCATCTGCAGACTTCTTTGGAAAGCGTTCACATCTCCACTGTCCTTAACATATTTCTATTTGTGTAAGATACTTTTCTACCATGGCCTCATTTACTTTGTTAATTATTTTATTTCTGCCCAGTAGGGTAGGAGGGCCTAATTCTTCTGGGCATCAGGCCCATTTCTTTCAAATTCCTGTGCAGAGTTCCACAAGTAATTTGCAAAAGCTAGGTCTTTTAAACAATCCAAAAAATTCTAGTAGGAAGCATATTAATTATAGGATTTCTATATAAAGTTGGCTGTGAATAGGAGAACTCAATAGCACAGCAATTATTTGAATCACTACTTCTTTAAAAGGATATAATGCTGAGATCCTGGAGGTTAAGATTGGAACAATCATCTAACTCTGATAACTGCTTATGATTGGACAGCAAAGGAATTATTTCAGGTGTGTGTGGGCATGTGTGTGTTCCCATATATTAATATACATATTTCCTAACAGACAGCTAGTTAAAAAGAATGTTTTTTAATCCTAGATTTCAAATTCAATACCAAATCATTCATTATATCTAGCTAATTATATCCTCTAACAAATACAAACTAACAGAAATCTGAGAAGGCTATGAGAACTATTAAAAAACAAAATTCTATCTTTCTCCTGTCACTGACATCCACACTGAAGTAAAAAAATTTCTAACCACAAAATAAGTAATTACAAACTGCATGAAGCTATGGAAAAGATGACAAAGAAGGAAGATCTAGAAAAGTTAAAAAGCAAAACAGAAAACAAAATTAAATACAAACAGGAAAAATAATCATCCTACTAACACATTTCAATCATTACAAGCGTAGACTTACTTTTATGATTTACATTATAACAATACCTTAAACTAGGTTCCTCAAGAGCATTTCAAATGAAAAATTTCTAAACTCAGTAAATCTTGCTCTATTACCAAATTTCACCTTTCCACAAGACAGACATCAACATTTCCCAAAAGCTAGAATAACTGTACTTGTATACATGATTAAAACTACCATATGGAGCCCAGAACCACTAGAGAGGTATGTTTTTAACATTTACTACCTCGGTAATAGTCATGGCATATAATCAAAAACTCCAGGGGAACCTTCTTTTTCATATTTATTATTAGTACTGAATAGGCTCACAAATTAGATTTGATTTCATGTAATATGACCACATATTCCAAGAAAAAGAAAAAAAAAATCACAAAATTACTCCATTAGAAAGCCACAGAACCAAAGGTCTATTGGTGATTAAAGGTTGCCTAGTATATCTTAGTTCTTTTACTCCTTGGCAAATGACTCCGAAGGCTTCCATATCATCAAGGCATTTACAAAGTGTAATCCTCAAATGATTAGTCTCGTTTTTAAAACACTGATACTTGAAATTCAAAATTCAATGAACTTACTTTTCCAGGTGTACAGTGACCAAAGGGATACTTATGTTGGTAGATGGTTTTGCTAACCCTAGCATCACGATGGCTTCATGCAACTGTTTTACTGTTTCAATTTCACCTCTTAAAGCTGCGCCATTTAGGATGTGGAAAAAGGACAAGACTGTTGCATCTTTGATAAGAACATCCTTCTCTTTCATCTCTTTTAGAATGTTAATAGCATCTACAATGAAGTAACACAAAAGACCCTTAGGTAATTTCATGTAGGGAAAACAAACTGCTATTAAAACAGCATTTCAAGCTCAGCAGGAATGTAAATTCTAGTGTATAATGCCGATTTCAAGTTAATTACTACTTGCATTTCTAAACGAGACTACAATTATAAATCCACAATAGCATGGTTTTATCATTTCCCTGCAACTTTGACTACAAATTATAGATAGAGACTGTGTGCCCACTCTGCACCACATAACCCTGTATGGTCTGCCCTATAGCTGTAAGATCCTCCTAAATGGATGCTTTTATCGTTCACAGCTAACATCTGCTAAATCACACCATTGTTTCTTCAGCAGATGGCTTGTCAGGAGGCCAGATAATAAAGATGTGTTTACACTGTATATACAGCCAGACTAATGGTCTGATACCGATAGGGCCTGTTTGCTATGTCGATACTAATTAGCCAAGCAGAGCCAATGAAAGCTTTCCAAAAGACTGCATGTTAATACATTAGATTCATTAAGCTTCATTAGGAAGGCAGAAACAAACATTTTAGGATATGGAATAAGGGCATTTTTATAATGCTGTTCTTAATTATTACACAGACAAAATGTGACCAGTTTGCAAAAATGATTTTTAAAAAAGCAGGTTAATCTTTATAAAGCGTTTTCTGTGTTAGAAAGGCTTCACAGGAAATATTTCAATGTTCAAATCATACGTTCCCTATATATTTTTCCCCTAAAACAGTCTCTTCTAAAAAGAAGTCTAAAAATGAAGTTCCAAAAAAAGCCAAATCAGAAAGTTAAGAAACAAGCAGCTGCTACCAAGTACATTTAATGATACTAGGTTTAGTGGCATAGTGCTATCACAGAATATACAAATCGGCTATGTAATCAGTTTTCCTATGAACTGCTACATAAAAATTTTAAAACATATTTTATTAATATAACTAAAAGTTAAGACAAAAACTACCACAAAATTCAGAGTCTTACATATCAGGTTCTGTTTATAGGTTTTACGTTCACCCTTCAAAACTTCTTAAATAGAAACAAAGCCATTAGTGCAAGCATATAAGCAAATTGTGCCTTAAGTCATGATCTTCAAACTCAATCCAAACAGCAATGCTAATAAAAACTAGCTGCAGAAATGCAAAAGGCACTGAGCTGTGCAAATGTAAATGACAAGCTTGCCAATCCATTAAAACTAATGGCCTATACTGCCCAAGCAGCTCTGGTTGGATTCACATGCAAATTTGTATGCAAAGTGTTCAAGCACTTTGCAGGACATGATATACCATTAATATCAATTCACATGTTATTCCAGGGGCAAATACTTGCATCACTTCTTTCCTTTATGTGGTGAGGCTTACCTTGGACTTTGCCATGTTTCCCCAATACTCTTACAAGACCTACATATTTATTGGTGTCAAGGACAGCAGATGAATTTAACCGGTCACTATAAAATAAAACCAGTTACAGTATGTAAACGTCATTATCAATCTGCAAAAGCTCAACAGAAGTCTGAAATGTTAATTTTGTCTTCTGTATTTAAGATTTTTTAACAATATCAATTCACATGTAATTACATTCAGTGACTACAGAAGTAAAAATCTAACAATACATGTATTTTATCTATCTATAAATGATACTAACAAAGATAGGCTCTGATTTTCTGGCACTTTAAGTGATTCTAACCTTCATCATGAACACTAAATACACCAAATGGCATATTTTTATTTGAAATCAAGACGATAAAGACATTGGAAAAAATGGACAGAATTTTCTAATACTACAGTATGGAAAGAGAAATGTTATTAAGCCTTATAAAAAAGTTACCATCATCATTGCTGTAATTAATATGCAATTATATAACCAGTGGGCACGGGGGAAGCCTTGGCTTTATGAACAAAAATGTCTTACTGTACTTAAAAAAGACACTTTGCAGACACGCCACAATCACTTATACTAAGAAATTTCAAAAATGCTGACCACAGAATTATTAAAAATTATATGACAGTAGTAAGTATTCAATGCAGGTGATCCATCAAGGGCTACATATCAGCATGAATGCCGGTAACTTGCTTCAGCGCCAAGGTACTCACAATTCTTGTTTCAAGTTCAGTGCATCTTCTGCATTATCATGTCGACAGCACAAATTTATTAAAGCTGCATAGCCACCGACAACCATGTCTGATTCATATTTTTCTTTCAACTCAAGGGCTTTTTGCATGTTCTAAAGCAAAGAATTGAAGTGAAAAGGCAAGAAGAAATTAATATAAAGGTTACAACGTCACATTTTGAGTTTTAGTGTTGTTCAGAATTTAGACAATTTAACAATACTTTAAAAATAGATGGTGTCACGTTACCAACACAGACCTGCCCCTTGGTATTTTTAGTCACCTTTTAAACAGCAAGGAAAATAGGTAGATAGGTAGGTCAATAGACAGGCAGACAGACAGACCAGTTAACATGGTCTAAAAGATTTGTATTTATAATATAAAACAAGCTACTATTTATACAAAATTTGATGTTTTAGCTTTGTGATTTATATTATTTAAAACACTTCCAGATTAAGTATTTCCAGGTCAGCCTCTATTCACAATCCAATTTACAGATGCAGATATATGTACCCATACCATTAAGAAAGTTCCTCAGTCTAGTTCAGTACCCAAGCAGTTTAAAAAAAAAAAAAAACCTTTAAAAATTTTATAGTACCATGTTATAATCTCAAAACTAGTTATGTTTTTTCCCTGAAACCAAAGCTTATGACCAAATCATACTTAACTGGAAACTGAAAAAATACAGTGATATTCCACAAATTGCACACACACACTAAAATGAGCACAAAGTACAGCTGGATGCCCGCTGAAAAAAGGCAAGAGACCCTTTATCTCACAGAGCTTTTTTTCCAGCAGGAAAATGGAATTTCAATCCCTGCATTAACAACTTAGTAATATTTGACTTGCAAATGACTACTGCATATATCAGTTGCTTGACAATCTAGATATAAGAGACCAGAGCCATGGCTTGAAAGGACATTTGGCATGTATGATAAACCTATCACAGCTGTTACTATCATTCACTTTGCAGATTATCGTAAACAAACTACAGCAACCAGAAAACATGCCATTCAAGGTGTAGCTGAAATTAGTTAACCTTTCATTTAATTGCATTGTTCACAAAAATGATATACAATAATAACTATAAAAATTATAAATATTATATTGTTTTGCTTACTGTTATTTATAAAGAATTTTTTCACCCTGAGAGCATATTGGAAATATTTAAACAAATGTTACCTCTTCTGAACAAAGGACTAATATCAGTTGCTTTAGAACATCTCCTATAGGTTGATTGTCACCTTTTAGTTTTTCAAGCGTAGATTCTAACTCAGATGATGTAAATTGTGAAGTCTACAGAAATGGAAGAAAAAAGAAAATTTACTAAAAGAAGAAAATGCAATCCTTGTCACTCTTCTCCTCAAGCTAATCTGTTTCCAGCTTCCTAAATGTCATTACTGCTCTCAGGAATATTACCCTGTGGAGCCATGAATGGACTCCAGGTGTTTATGAACCTCCCCAGAGTAGATACGAATTTCCTAGGTTACTGATTTTTCTGGAATGGAAAATATGTTTTAACAAGTTCTTAAGAGTTTAAAAATGTGAGGAACCACTGATTTTATAAAAACACAGCCTAAAATTTTCATTAAATGCAGTTATTACAGCATATAGAATCCACTCAAAAACCTACTTACTTTTCGAGAATCTGTCTTCTCTCTGTCTACCAAAACATTAACATCCTAAAATTGGGATTTAAATTAGTACAGAATTAGAAAACACAGGGAAACATTAGCAAATGTTAAAACTAAAATTTTAAAGTCCTATCTCATTTTACATTCTAAACTTTGCAGAAATTCTGTTTGTACTTAAGCATTACAACTCATGTTTTAAATGTATTCTATAGCTTTAACCAACAAAGAAAATCTTTCAATGGTTGTCATTGAAATAAAAATTTTTATATTTAAATAATATTTTAACATGCTTTTATATATGAATTAAACATTTCATAAAACTGATTACTATTCTCACACACACCTTAATCAATTCAGGGACGTGGTAGCTATCCAGCAGATTCCGAATGCCTCGGTAGATATTTTCGGAAATTTTTATATTCTGTGTGAAGGGAAGAGGGGGGAAAACCCTGAGTTTTAGACAACGAAACTGAAATTTGTCTAACAGAAATTATCTCAGACATAATTTAAGTCTCCAACTCTTGCATGTCATTGAGAAGTGGTCTGGTTGTTCTTAAAAGCAGCAATTTCAAATTTAATAGATACATGTCAGGCAGGACAGGCATTATATAGCAAAAAATGAAATGGTACCATCTCCTCTAGCTGATGGAAGTATTGTCTCAAATGCTCCTCCTTGGCCTGTACCTCTGAGTCACTCATGCTGTCAATCAAGTTATAAAGAAAATAGCCAACAGCTTCTGTGGAAAAAAACAAGAGAAAGCATTCCACTAAAATTACTGAGACTGTCATGTTATCAAGATTAATTTATAAGAAATCATTTTGGTGTGAGATGTCACCCTGATGAGAGGCTCTGAAATGGCAACAATGATCACTGAGGCATAGAGATTATGTGGTTTGGGAGCACATATCTAACTGGTGAGTGAAAGGAATATTAATTATTTTCAGACCAAGTGACAGCTTTTCAGTACTGAATCTTACTTCAATCTATTTTTTTTTCCACCAGTCTGTGACAGAAGTGGTGCTGCCCAAGGCCTTACCCCTCCCCTGTCCAAATCACACAGTGAGAGGGAAAAAAAAATGTCTTTACACACTTCTGTACTAATTTTTTGGTGGACAATATTTAGGAAAACACACAAAATTAGAATGGACTATTAAATGTTGAGTATAGAAAAGTTAAATAATTTTAATAAGCAGATACAGTAATCCTGTAGAGAGCTGCCTATTAGCCAATGAAAAACCAAGATTAACAAAGATGTTTTATAACAACAGTAATTTTCCAGTGCATTCAAGCATAAAATGTATAGGGCCATGTGTTAATGCCTAGGATAGGAGATCTGAACTTTCAAGAAAAGTACCTTCTTATAGAAAGCTGTATGTTCTAAGTATCATTATGACATGAAAATCATTAAATACCAAAATGTCTTTTTAAAAATCCACAAGGTATTTTTCCTACTTTGTTTAAAATTAATCCACATCTACACATTAAAATCATATAAATACTAAGAACCACTGATGTTTGAAGCCTATTTCCACAGAAATAAAATAGAAATAAAGCATTTGCATCACAGCTGAAAAGAAAAGCCTCCCAACCCTATCTTTTAGTCATTACGATAAAAGCAAACACCTCGTAGATCTAGAAGTGTTGAGGTTATCAATATAAGGATTTATAACCAAATGTTTTCAAATTTCACTTTCAGAAAGAAAATGTTTACTGCTGTGACCCTTCTAGCCCGCCATTACACAGAAGAATGGATTTGTGGATAAGTTACAATCATTGAAATTGAAACACTACCCGTTGGTCCTGGAGGCTCCTGGCAATAACGTCCATCCTTATACAACAATTCTGTTATCTGGTAAGACAGAAAATTCGTGCATTGCAGCAAGAAAAGCAAACAAGAGCAAATACAATCTGAAATTGAGTTCTTGAAATAATAAAGCCTCTCCCCAGTAAGGTATTATTCTATATCACAGTAATCCAACACCACCAAAACCCACAAAGAAGATTGTTTTGTTTTTAAATTGGTTTGTGTTCTAAAAATAAAAACAAACCCATGCTGAAGGAAAACTGCAATGTTTTACGTAATGTCACCAAAGAAAGACTCTGAAGTGATTTGTTTTACATCATTTTAAACTCTTATGACAGAAAATAGCTTTAGGAATTGTGAACCAATATTGTTTCTCATCATATTGTTCTTGGTCTTGATGAAGCTGGACCACTCTCCTCCGTTTAAATCAAAGTTTACAGAAATAATAAAGTAAAATATGCAGGCCCAGTAAATAACCTATACTTTCTAGTATTCAATGACATCTTTCTATTCATTTTAATAGCAGTAATATAATAGGGGCCAAATGTTCTAATGTGTTTGTTCTCATTCTTATCAATTTGCAAACACTAAAAGATATATGTAACACTTATTTCTCAACATTAATCCCAACAGCAATTTTTAATTTAAAAGAATCCAAAGATATATTTTATGATCAAAATTATTACATAACCAACAATACTGGCTTGAACAAAATAGTTGGCTATACAGCCTCTGGCTGAAGACAGAACAGAAACATATAGTAGCTGTCCAAAATGATATGGGTTAAGAATTCTAAACTGCTTTATGTGTATTCTACAACTGAGTTTATCTGTCCTTAAAACAGTGCATTAACAACTCAAACTTCATTTATTCCTATGATTCTTACTAGCTAATATGGAAAATTAGGCAAGTTGACCACAGACCATCATGAAAACAATGCTGCAATTCATGGCAATAAGAAGGGCCTATAGAAACAACAATTTTTGAAATAAAAACAAAAATATCCTCACCTACAACCCCTTTAATCAACATACACGTGGCAGACAAATTCTATCAGGAACTGTAGCCATATATCAGATGTATTACAGTAATACTTAATGCCAAATTTGAAGCAAAGATACAGTGGAATCTCTTTAATGAAAACAGAACAACTTCTAGATGTAATTACCCCACATTAGATTTGACTATACAGTGGCAGTTCAAGAAGTAAATGATATCTAGGTTTTAAAAAATATTTAAATTGGAAATTCCAATTGTTTAATTAAGCTGAAAATCTTTCTGTAGTTCAAAATTGTGCTTCCTGTACAAAACTAGTTAACTGCTTAAAAAGGTAGCAATATAAAGTTGCTCTGCATCCCATTCACACATAGAAACACAAATATATATACATATATACATCAAAGTAAATAAAAGTCAAATGTCATTGTAACAATTTTAACAGTATTCTGGAAAAGTTCAAAGTCTTAGTAAAAATTTAGAAAGAAGTCAAGGGCTACTTTCATAACAAACTTCCTACTGTTTTACAAATACCACTTCTAAAATTTTAAATCCATTAACTTATAGTAGAACTGCATAATGTATAAAAGTTTTGCTTGTAACGGATTTTTACATCAAATTGTGATTTGCATTATTAGGAGTACTTACCTTGCTCCAAAGATTTATATTCATAGACCTGCAGAGGGCAGCAAAGGATCAAAAATAAATCCAGGGGTTTTAAAAAAAACATTTTAAGTTAAAATGCACTGGCAATGTACTATGTATGTATACAAATCACAGCCCTTAAATAAGCAAATAAGCATATGTTTGGAAAATTGAGCTCAGTTATCAGGACAATGTAATGTAGAAAGAGTGACCCTTCACTTTGAATCTTCAAAATAAAGACGGACTTGGGTAAGAATCATTGAAGAACCACTCCTAAACCTTTGGGTCCAAGTTTGATGGAATATGACATTTGCACAATCCCAAAGTCAGCCGAAAGAATGCCCGTTATTTATTATGGAAAAAACAGATAGAGAGATAGAAACATCTATATAATGGAAAAATGAACTACTGTAACTGAGCGATCAAAATTAACATCACTAATTAGCTGCTGATGGACACTGGGTCCCTTTAGATGTACTTTCCTGAAAAGACAGATTACCATTAATGTGGTATTCCAGCTGGGGATGTATAACCTGAATGTAATCATGACAACCATTATGAGCAACATTCTATAAAATAACTGACCTGGGTTCTCAAAAAGTGTTAATGCCATAAAAGACAAAGGCTGAAAAATTATTCTGGATTAGAGAAAATTAAACAGAAATGACAACATCTATCCTTGAACTGGACTCTCTATAAATGGGGAGAAATGCTAAAAAAGACATGACTGATAAAACTGGAACATGAAAAAAATATCTTGGTGATGTTAGCTTCCTGAATTTGCTAACTGTGCTACTGTCCAAGGATATCTTTCTTCTGTGGGATTACATACTACCACATTAAGGGGTAAAGGGTCGTGACACAGAAAATTTAAGTTGAGACAATTCTAAAAAATATATATACATTATTTAAAAATGACAATGTGGAAGCAGTAAATAATGCAGCAGAATGCTACAAGTTGGTAAATGAGTTCTCTGTATTACAAATGATTGTCTGTAAATGTGGAATTGTTTCAAAAAAAGCAAAACAGGTGACTCAAATGTTGCCTATTTAAATATGAAACCATTTGCAAAACAGGATAAATGAACACTGATCTTATGCCATTTGTAAGCTCTGTATGTTTGATGCCTACAAGCTTTACTGAATTTAAACTTTAAGATGACAAATTATGTTTCTGTGGTAAGTCTAATACCTGTTCAGACTTACAACCGAAGTGCACTGTCCAGACTTATAACCTGTCTTTTTTTGCTATTTTTTAAAGAGAATAAAAAATAATAATAAAACCATTAGAAACGATAACAGAATTTCACTACGCAAGATGATAGGAATTCAACAATGGTTGTTATATTGCACACTGCTGTCTTCAAATTAGTTGTTCAGATTACCAGATATACGCATGCAAAATTGGTAAAAAAAAATTTAAAAGAAAAAAAAATTTAAGCTTTAACTGTTCCTTCAATAAACCAACAGAAATCAGCAGTACAATTATCCCAGCTATCCCTATATACAAATATATATTATTTTTTCCCTCCCTTCTTTCCTTCTTTTCTCCTTTCCCTCATCCCAGTTGTTCCTTCCCTTTGCGCAGCTGCTTTCCCTTTCACAATATCTATTGTACCTTTTGGATTTTTATTTACTCTTTCAGGTTCTTATACTAGGGAAACAATATGATGTTTACACATGCGGGTCTAACTTATTTCACTTATGAGTATAGTACAGTCTTTAGTTGCATCCATTTACCTATATGAGCTTCGAGTTTATCTTTTTTTGCTTGTTTGTTTTTGTTTTTCTTCCTGGGAGTTGAACTCACAACCTTGCGCTTGCCAGGCAGGCGCTCTGCTGCTGAACTAAATCCACAGCCCCGAGTTTATCTTTTTTTAAAGCTGAGTAATACTCCATTGTATAAAAATACATCTTTTTTATCCAGTCTTCAGGTTGATGGGCATTTGGGTTTTTTTACAAGAGTTAGCTATGACACACTGCACTGCTATAAATATTTTAATACAGTTCTGTAATCTTGTTTATAGAGCCTCACAGTCTTTTTACACATATACTTTACGTAGTATACTGTAATTTATGCTAACCCTACTGCACAGTGCAGTACTGCAGTTTTACATTGTTATACATGACAGTACAGCAGGTAGGTGCTTTGCAAACAAAAGCAAAGTCATGAAGTTCGAGTTTCTTTGACCATTTCTCTATTCCAAATATTGTAATGTATATACTATATACGATTCCTCATTTAGCAACCAATTCATTTAACAACCGAGTCTCAGGACCATAACTAAACTGTTAACCAAAGAATGTTAACACAGTATATACAACTCACAAAAATTCACAGGTGTTTTTAAACCTGACATTGTCTGCCATCACAAATTCCTATCACTATACAGTTTTAACCAAAGTATCAACACATCTATAGTATTGTATCTGTATTGTTTTGAGCAGGTATTGATGAAATACTTTCCTCTTCATGCCCCACTGCTTGGAATGAGGATATTCACTTCACCCACTGAAGTGTTCTACTCTGACTTACTCCTGCATGTTTAAGACAGACCATGGTGAGCTTACGTGCAGAATGCGCTTGAGTATCTGTTGATACTTCTGTCACATGCTAAGTATCTGGTTACTGACTGCCCAAACACAGTGAACTATACGCTTCTCATGACTCACCCATGACTTCTCAATGACTTCTCTGGAAGAGGCTTAAACTTTTAGAAAAAAATGACATCAGATTCTGATGCAAAGACTGTTCATATTATATTCTCTTGGAAGACTTGATTATTAAATAAAGGCAGCAGTGTTTGTTTCTTACTGCTGATTATCTGTTCACTGTACTTGTTCTTTCAAAATTAATCACATATTCTTTAGAAATACATTTGCTGTCTAATTAACAGGTTAATTCTTGTTTTTCCTATACCCACAATGAAAGTCTTTGAGGAAGCAAAATTTTTAAAATGACAGTTTTCTTTAAATCTAATTTATGTCTTTTTTTTTACCTTAGAAGAGCAGGGATGAAGAAAATGCTAACAATGTATCTACAGAAGGCTGATTTCAGCGCTGAGTTTCTTCCAGTAGGAAATGGAATTCAGAAGGAAAATCATGGAAGAATATTAATATTTTAGCCTTACTACAGACAGAGGTCTGAAACTCTGGGAAACTCCAGTAGTATGTACACAAGTTTAACACAGTAATGCTAACACTTGCCCAAGTAGCTCCTAAACGAAAATTATCTTTACAGATCTTTCTTTCACAGTGCTAAGGCTCAAACCCATCCAGGGCCACACATGCTAGGCAAGTGTTCTACTGCTGAGCTACATCGCCTGCCTTTATTTAAATTTTATCTTAAGACAAAAGTCTCACTACACTGCCCTAGCTGACTTTGAACTTTTGATCCTCTTGCTTCAGCCTCCCAAGTAGCTGGGATTATAGGCATCTGCCATAACACCTGGCACCTCAGAGCTTTTTAATCCTACTTTAGAAAGCTGAACATGGTGGCGCACACCTGTAATCCCAGCACTGGGGAAGCTGAGGCAGGAGAATCGTGAGTTTGAGGCCAGCCTGGACTACAAAGTGAGTTCAAGACCAGCCTGAAGTACATAGTGAGACCCTCTCTTAAAAGACCAAGAAAAAAAAAAAAGTAAAGAAAAGAAAGAAGAAAACCCGAAAAACTACTTTAAAAACACAGCACCTGCCAGCACCAACAAAGCCTCATAGACATGGGCGTGATTCTACCGTACGAAGTAATAAATAAAAATGTCAACGTGCCATGACCAGAAGGCACAGAAAAGAAACAAAATGAAGAACCCTGACCTCTTCATTATGTTTCTGCTCTAGCTTCTGGTTCCTTTTTTACAATGTCCAGGACCTAATTAAGAGCAAAAAAATCATCCCATTATCTTTCATTTCTGGTGCGGTCAGGCTGCCATCAGTGAGAAACTCCATGACTAAAAAGAGGACCTTATAAATCTGGCATTCAACTTGATGACTTCAGTGGAGCTGATATGTGGTCCTAGAAGTCTGAGCATCAGAAACTTGGTTTTTTTCAACATATGGAAGACAGATTACTTCAGCATACAGACTCCCACCTGCCAAATTTGGACTTCATCGGGGAGGAAAGTTGTTCCTTATGGACTTCATAGAACTCTTTTTCCTGCATACGGAAGACTCATGCTTCCACACTAATTCTGAAACACTTCTTTTAGGTACCTTATCTTCCCAGCCACATCTCGAACTAGCTTCCGCATCATTATATCTTAAGTCACACAGCACTTCTGGTGGTAGAACTTTCACTATATTATACTAAGTGCACACACCCTCTTTTTCATCTGGACTTTGTTCAACACTATTGTCGGGGGGGAAAGAAGAAATTGTACTCATTGTAAACATCATTTTGCCCTGGATTTGACATGAGAATTCAATAACTTAACAGTCAGATCTAAATACCCTTTAGCATGCCCTCTATAGCATTGTTTTTTGTTTTTAAGGAAAAAAAAGGTTGAAAGTAAAAATTCCCTAATAATCCTCAATAAGCTCACCCTAAACTTTAAGTTTACATAGTTTTTGTTTTTGTTTTCTTTTTTGAGACAGGGTCTTGCTAGCTCTAAACTCACTGTGTGGCCCAGGATGGCCTGAAACTCGCAGCAAGCCTCCTGCCTCAGCCTCCTGAGTGCTGGGATTACGGGTATGTACCACCACACCCAGCTATAATTTATATATATTTTTTACAGGTGATTTTGCCTTTATATATTAACAGACAACATAATTTTATAAAATGGATAGCTCCAAGAAGGGATTATACTTGTCATTCATCTACCATTTCTCAAACTGGTCAACATAGAGAAATACTAGCTTTCCACTTACATACTACTCTCCAAAGATACAAAGAAAATAGTTTATCAAAAACATTATGGGACAGCATAAAAGTAAATAAATCTGAGCCAATACAGACTGCAGTCCACATGCTAAGAACTATTACTAGGTAGGTTTTATTAAAAGATAGGTAACTACTCTAAAAGTTATAGTCCATTA